GTGAAACAATGATCCTCAATTATAGGTCTCTCTGAAAATAGGGTGCGAGTAGTGTACGAAAGAAATACTTAAACGAAATTCCACAAACTATTTTTAAGATTTAAAGCTTAATTGAGCAGCAGTTTCCAAGAAAAGCAAGCGAATGTATCTTTTTGATAAATTTTTAACCATTTCTCGGGAGGACTTTCAATTATACTTCACCCAATTGTCACCTTTTAACAGTTTCCCACAATAGTTTTCCAGAATCTTAGAAAGACTTATGATAAATAAAGCGGTTCACCATTATAGCTAGAGAACTGGACACTTACTGTTTACTCTGTCGATACATTGTCCGCCATGTTGACAAGGATTTCGGGCTGGCATTCATTATATTTCTGTTTGGGCATTGTTGACCCGTGTATCCAGCATCACAGATGCAGGAGAAGCTATCGCATACGCACACACATCTTACCATGGTGAGCAGTGGTCAAGGGGATGCAAGCATTCGTGATATTTTCTTTCACAATGCACACCTAGAATTAATTTTGATTGCTATAAAACAAATTCTCGAAACATATAAATATAATTGAGACTTTGCGTCAACGTCCGATGATATATTGCTTATATGCAACAGATTTTGAAAGCGGAAATGTTGTAGAGGTTGATGAAAAAAATATAGACCATCAAAAAATGGTAGCTAGGCTTTTGAACATATGTAATGAGAAATAAAGGAATAGAGAGCTTACGCACTACTGGCGGTGTCAATGGTAACGAGAATGTAGGCAAGCATCCAAAAACAATATCAGTGAGTTTGAGACATATGTTGTTGAAACAGCATAATCCCGAAAGGGAGACCTACCCACAATAAGGACGCACTGACAGCAATAAGGAAGAATGAAATGTTGTGATTACTGTGTGTAGTATAATTCGCGAAGGCCAAACTTAACTAAAGATGTTTAATCAATACAATAAAATAAAAAAAGCAATATTTAGATAAGAGGTTCGAAGGGTTGTTAGAGCAAACGTGTTTTGAAATACAAGCAGTGTATAAAGTCAACATTAACCGTACTGACTCGAAATCAGAAGGACACCAGCATTGATATGAGTCCGGTGAGTTGACGCAAAAAACCATTTTTTTGACAGGGCTTTGAAAGGCAACATCGACAATAGCCTCGCACTGCTTGCCTGATGGAAGAAGTATGGAAAACAGAAACATTACTGCTGTAGTTTGAATTGCATTTTTAGTGCTGTTTTTTGGGTCCATGACCATGACCAGCCTCGTTATACTATTAGCCTCGCTATGATAGCTTGGAGTTAATTCCGTTGACAAGTTTGGAATTAGAGAGTTTCTTCTTCGTCTGAAATCCTCACCTTTAGATTGTTCTATTCGATTACAACAGTACTGAGCCTGCTACTAGTTTTGACAGCCTTCGCTTCTTCAATCTACTGTATGTATGTTACCTTTTAGATGAAAGCTCATTCTTCACCTAATTTTTAACTTATACAAGATACAATGACCAAATTATGAAAATACTGAAAGAACTCACAATGTATTTATAAGTGCTCCTTGATTCAGAAATCGCATATGATACAGAAACCTGAGAGAAACCCGATAGTTTGTACGCGTTTCAGAAGAGATTTTTATTGACGATTTGACATGAAGGACTGAAACATAAACGCAGAATTGATGGAATGACTTAAATATCAACAGAAGAAATGGATTCAGCATCAAAGCTGAAACATAACGCAGAATTGATGGAATGACTTAAATATCAACAAGAAGAAATGGATTCAGCATCAAAGCTGAAGCATAGAGACTACCAAAAATTTTTACGACAAGCGTTTCGAATTTCAATATCAAATCTTCTATTAGATAATTTACTCCCAGAACTTTTTTAAGATAGGCATGTCTAAGCCTTCTCTGAGTATAAATGTCAAAAAATAATCCCAGCCAAGTATTTGAGAACAACTGCAAGAATTTGCAAATGTTTAGATTAAAAACTCTGTAAACAAACAACTTGATTAAAGAGGATGAAAATAAAAACATACCAATGTAGCCATTTTACAGTGACATCAAATGGAATCACTGGTTGCCACACAAGTGCCATCCTGAAAACAAGGAGATGAATGACAGGCGGTAGTTGGCGTCACGGTCGGGACATACCAGCTTCCTGATGCATTTCGTACTGTTTTGGTGCATGGAAAAGCCGGCAGAACATTGACAAAGAAAGTTGCCGCAAGTTTCGTTCGGACTGAAGCATCCGACTGGGCAAGCAAGGTTGGAAGGCAGCCATTCATATTTACATTTCTTGAAACAAAATCACCATCAGTATAAAATCTAAGCAACAGTTAAAAGATCCTTAGATTGGTTGAAACGATAAATGCGACTGACGCTTTTTGATTCCAAGGGCAACGCTGGCTCACGATCATCACCCCCCCCCACCCCCCCCCCCAAATCACACCTTGTATAATTTACAACAAAGGTTCTTGAAAACGAAGCTTAAAAGGATATAGAATGTAAAAACTGGGGCAACTAATGTAATTTAAAAGCCTAGCATATTAAAAAATTCCGATTCAAACGTTTTCGGAGAGCAAGTAGGACGTGTCAGCAAAACCTTTTTACGGCGGATCTAGCCGCTAGAATACTTGTCTAATCGCAATGACACTGTACAGATTCATAACTGAATTCTACAATGCCTGCCACAAGTCTTGGAACACTGACATCAATTTCCAAGGTCAAAACCAATCATCCCCCTCTCCCCCACGGAACAATGTTGGTTTACTATCAAACGGGTTAGGATTTTAGGAAGCACTTTCTTTTGCGCTTCTTTTATGATATTTCTCTAAATCATCAACATTGTTTGAGGGGGAAGGGGGCGGAAGTAGCAATTTTTTTCATGAAAGGAATGAAAGATATCAAATGCAGCGTAAATTGGTGGGTGTTCCAAGTACTTTTGGCAGGCATTGTACCTGCCGAGTCATTAGAGATATATGTGCAAATAAACAAGAAACAACATCTTCTCCTGAGATTTTTCAGGGTTTGCGTTTAATTGTCAAACAGCCTTCAGGTTAAGTAACTCACTGAAAAGTGTGGAGTGAGCAGAGAAGCAACAAAGTGATAGCTACATAAAGCCCTGTTTACACTACAACTTTCTACCTGGGTTGAACCTCGGTTAACGTTAACCTGGGTTAGGAATTTTTTAATGTAAACGCAGCTAACCTGGGCTGAACTTAGGTTAAGTCAACCCTACTCTGGAGGTGGGTTGAGCCTAGGTTGACCCCAGGATAAGATCTTCGAAAAAACAGTGTAAACGCAAACTTGGGTTGAACCCAGGTTAACGATCTGACGGGCGCATGCGCTTTTTGAGAGACGCATCAAAAGGTGCATACGCGCAAAGTCATTGTCAAAACAAAAGTTGAAACAAATTCATGACTTTATCGAAATATGGGCGGACGAAGGGGTTAAGCAACATCTAGATTCATGTACAAGGTAACGTTCTATATTCGGAAGACTGCAGGGGGAAGGTGAATACATTCGTTCGTACCACATCTCAGTGAATTCACTCACCACATCAAATTCTCATTTTTACCGGCCACCATTTTGAAAGATGAAAATGATCGCTGTTCACAATGAAGCGCATGCGTGGCGAAACTAACCTGGGTTCAACCCAACTTTGCGTTTACACTATACTATGTAGTCAATGCAGTGTAAATGCAAGTGGGTTCAACCCAGGTTAGCGTTAACCCAGATTAAAAGTTGTAGTGCAGACAGGGCTTAATACTTATTATCTATTTTTTTAATTTAAAGATAAACATACAAGATGTCTTTGCCTGACTCACCAAGAATCACATTTGTGTCTTAGCTTGTCTTGGAATGGGCCAAGACAAGCTTCCTTTATTGTTTTCATTTTTTTCCTTCCTTCATTTTCTTTGTACGTCTTTTCTTTATTTTGTTCGACATATTGGATTTTGGCTGAGGCATTGCTAAAGCCACAATCCAATATGTCGAAGAAAATGAAGAAAACACGTACTTTCGAATTACTGGACTTGTGGGCAGTCAAATGTCATATCGAAAACCTATTGCTATTCCTGACGTGTGCAAATTTATACAGCCCCGCACCACAAAAAGCACAAAAATGACGGGAAAGGGAAAATTAAGCCTCTCACCTTTGAGATTGGGTGTTCCGGAGAGTAACGTAACGTTTATCAATGCTCCGCGAGTCGGTAAACCTTAGGTCTTTGACGCATCCAATCAAAGACGTATTTACATTTCCCATGACGTTCTGTACCGAAAGGGTTTCGTTTAGGCCTCCAACGTAGAACAGGCCGGTCTGAACAATATAGCGTGGTTCGACTGCCATGTCTGAAAAGGAAATAATGATCAACCAGCGATGTTTATGTTCTTACAACAGAAAAGGTATTGCTATGATATGATTGAGCATGACTCATCGGATCAGCTATATCTATACAAAATACTGCTACGTTGAGAACCATTTATAAATGAGAGAAGTTCGTGACCATTTTAAGTGCACGGCTACAACATTTCATTACAGCAATATAAAATTCATTTACCTAGCCACAACTGCTGGAATGCCTTTAAAAAGATTCGACACTGCGAAAGTGCCCCCCCCTATCCCGGTGCCCCCCCCCCCGGCGCCCTCCCTGTCGATCACAAAAATAAATCTCATAACATTTTAATTTCTATTAACTTCACATGATACATTATATTTATACATGTATATATGTACATGTTTTATACATGATATCATTTTTGTATAGACTGATCAAAATACTAAAATGTCAACTTGCCTGGTACTGTGAATCTCATTTGGTACAGGTTGCCATCCAGGATCACCTCAACGAGTGACTCTGTTCTTTTCACAGTTAAGTCTTTCCAATTCCCATCGCTGACTGCTTCCTTTGATTGCAGAGATATCGATGTATACGCCGCACTGATCATGTTTAGAGAGACATTCAAATGTCTCTTATGGACAATTGCAGCAAGATAGGCACCTTGTTGGTTTCCAAGATAAAATAATAGTCCGTTCTTGGCTCTGGAAAAGTTCAAAACTGAGATTTATATGCGAATCGAAAAACTTAGGTAAATGCCCTGAAAAATTGGGGCAAAACTTAAGTAGCTATAAGGAACAATAATTTTGCCATTTCAGCATTTGTTCCAGCATTTTCTTCAACTGAAGGCATGAACCAATAGTGTAATAAATGTTTTTCAACTTGTAACTTTCTCTTTTAAATATTCAATAGCTTTTACGCAATATTTTCACGCTAAAATTTTTATAACCTAAACTCATGATATTTTATCTTAAAATCTTCTTTATCAAAACTTCTTCAAAAAATTACAAAAAAGTGACAGAACAAAAAATGCAAAAGTAAATGCATACAATGGCTAGATCAATTTCTATCATTACTTTCGTGGTTATCATTGCCTCTTTTCAAGTGTCACAATTTTTAAAGATTTAAAAACAAGAAGATGTTGCCTATCTGTACTTATATTCTGAAGTCTAACTGCTCAAGTTTGAAATACCCATTCTCCCAAGTTAGACAAAAGTTTTAACAAGAGCCCCTTATCAATCAATTTTTTTTAACAATATAACAGCCAAGAATTATTTTAATACTACCTTGATCTGAATCTGATAGATATGTCATGGAACAATGATGTTGATGTCTTCAAGATGTCATAGGCTAAAAATGAATTCCTGGATGTGATTGTTACATCTTCTTGTGAATTACACATGTTTTTTGGACATGATTGTTGAACATTGGAAGAATGTGTTGATGTGTTAAAATTTAACTGCTTCCGTTCTGCTTCAATAAAGTGAACACAGACAAGGGGGTATGTCTGAGCTTGAGACCGGATACCCTGAAAAAAAAACAGGAATTGAACCAGTCAATCCGACTTAGTCGATGGCTACTAAATCTTTCTCTATATTTATATATTTTTTCTAAATTCTAATGCATAAACTTCTAGAGAAATAATAAAATGCATTTATCAAAAAATAAGGTATAGAATATCAATAAAGACATGAAGTTTAATAAGAAGATATAAATACAAGAATAAAATATGCAAATATATCAGATGTTGATGCATATCACTATATAATACAATGAAATAGAACATATGATAACAATATTTCCACAACAAATGGCCTTGCAAGACAGAATTTCTTTATCCAAACATCAAAACTTTTGAACTGTACACTACAAACTGCCATGTCGATTAACAAGAATTTAAAGGTAGATACTGAGACAGGAAGTGTATCTCATGCCAAAGGATCAAGAAATGATTTAATCTTCAATTCTTCTTTATTCCTTCTGTTACAATGAGGCAACTTTTACTGTCAAACTACCACAATTAAACGGGACAAAAATATATCTCATTTGCTGGTGGGGGTACTTTTAATGAATGCAGTTGATGGAAGGAAAATCGAATCAAGAATTGCTTTTAATTTGTTTTTGAATGATCATTTCCCATGGAGAAACTATTGTCACATACATTTTATCTTTTCTTGAAGTAAAAAACCAGGTAATGTAGCTACAAATTTTTTTCTCTTTACTTTATGACAGGAGTCTTAAGATAACAGCATTATAATATGTATTTGTAGGCAAAGAGGGTATAAAACTAAAAAACCAAGGTGTGAAATGTAAAATTAAAAATTGAAAAATAAGAAAAGAGGAGAACAGGAGTAGTCACTGCCAGCTGGAATTTGCTTTAAGATGGCAGAAAATAATAAGGAGCAACTTATCAGTCAGAGACCAACAAGAGACATTTTGGGGCTTTAATTGTAATGCTGATAGGTTTTATGTATGAATATTCAAATTATCAATTATTATCATTACCATTGATCAGAATTGTGGTACATAGACATATGGCAACTGACATCTTAAATTTCTCCAAAAGTATAAAAAGTATCAGTGGCTCTTTCAGTAGGGTACTTAAGATTAAGCTGTTTTGCACATAACCGCAGACAAACTGGAGTGGTAGCTTAGTGTACAGGTATGTTTACATGGCATTAGTATTATGTAACAAACTGGTTATGTAATCTTCCTTAGATCAATGGTTTGCAATCAGACCTCCCTAAAAATTTTTTGTGCCTGTGAGCACAAACTGTTTGCAAAAGGTACCTGCAAATTTTTTTCATATGTAATGCGTATGATATAAAATTGTTCAAAATAAGAGTCATAAAGTAAGGTTTGATTACGCAAAGACCAGTAAATTTTCAAAGAACTACTTTAACCAGTCCTTTTCGTTTAGCGCGTGCGATCGCACCCGCACACGCCTGCACACGCGCAAGTTAAATTGCGCGTGCTTTTGACCACACGCGCAAACAGGTGTTTTAGCAGTTTTCTGTTAAAGGGCCTCTCCAGCCAAATTTTGCACTTGCATTTTATTGGCAATTTTTATAAAGAAGTTGAGCCTTGTGATCACGAATTGTTTTTCGATATTTTTTTACAGTTTGTGAGATATAAGCTCTTGCATTTCGATAATTTAATTTAATTAACCGACAAAAATTTTTGGTTTGGTGACACTGTGACGCAATTTTGACGTCACAGTGTATTTCGGATAGTCTCGCCTCAAACCGAATCGAACGACGGCGATTCGCAAATTGAACACTGCAAGTGATGGTACTTTCAGTTCTGTTCCGCCAGCTTTTAGTTTGAGCATTTCAGACACCAATTCTGAAGCCTTTAGTTGTTCATCGTTTCTGGAGAACAACTGAAGTGACAATTTCGATTAATTATACGCGAGGGAAGAGCTGGAACTGGAACTGGATGCAGTTATCAACGCGTGACCATGAGTCCTTCACGCTTCGGTGGAAGATATACGAAATTCATGGCGAACGAGAGCCGCACATTGTGACGTCAGAATGTCACCAAACTGATTCGGCTTTTGTCGTTTTTTTCTCGGAAAGGTGCAACTTTAAAGCCTTACAACTTCTAAACTAATTGGAATTTTTCAAAAACAATGACTTTGTCATAATACACGCACCAGATGCTAACTTTTAAGTCATTAAAAAAAATTTTTTTTGCTGGAGAGGCCCTTTAACATCAATTTCCCATGGTCTCATGATTGTTTATCCTTTCCCTTGTTACTTGATTCGCACTTTTGACCACAATATGATTTTTCCAATTTTCGGAAGTGATGTTTGGCTTTTGACTGAGTGCTCCATTCAACTTAGCGTCTCGTCTTTCAGCTAAGTCGCCATTAGCATGTTAAGTGTAATAACTGATTTCCTGTCAAAACGTAATTAGGCCCTGAAAGCAAGTAGCTGTTGGAAACAATTTTTGCTTGCTCTTGTAACTTTGGAGAGTGACGACGACTTTTAAAAGATGGCTGCTAAGGGCAACAACATCTGTTATGTATTGATTAATTTTGAGTTTTGCTCTTGCACGTATTCGAGTGGCTTTTTCCTTCTTGCTCCTTTTACCAATTTTATCAGGTTTGTACTTCAAATTTTCTTACAAGTGCGATCGCACGCGCAAATTTGTTTACATGTGCGATTTGCCACACACGCGTAATTTTGCTCACGAAAAGGACTGTTTAACAGAAAATTACTTCAGAATGACGATGGTTTTATCAACAAAAATAGCACTATAGAGTTTAAACAAGCTTACGACAAAAAGGGAAAATTTGCAGCAATTGTGTCCTTAATTTTATTCGAGCAACAAACGAAATGGCAGTCTGTTTAATTGCTTGATATTGCTTGATGCTATTATTAATGATACTTTCAGCTTTTTTAATATTTGGACCATTAACAACAATCACAATTTTCATCTCTTGCATGCTCCACCCAGATTGGTAGTTTGTCCTGAATTTTTTTACATGGAACCCTTCAATTAGTGACCGATTCAACTGAAACTTTGCCGCAGCAATGCAAACAGAATAAATAATCATATATCAAGATCTTTGGACATCTTGTTCTTGCTGTTAGGAAAATCTGTTATTCTCTTTTCGCTACATAAATTATTTTCAGAAAGTGGTAATGCTTTATATTATCATTGTGAAACTTGTAGCTGAATCGTTTCTATAAATTCTTAAACAATTGAAAACTTTGAACAAGTCTATTTAAGACCGCTTTTCGGATGTGCCTGCAGACGTAATTTGATCAGCATTGTTTGCCTGCAAGCCTCGCTTGCCTTTGCTCTGCGCACTTTAGCAAGGCCTGTTTGCAATATCTGTCATGACCATGGTAATATGTCACTTCATACCAAAATATTCCACACACCTGCACATCAGATCTGCTTGCATATCCTCCAATTAGGAGCTGTCCTGATAAGAACCCAAGATGTATTCCAAAACTTCTTCCAGTCAATGTGACCAATGGTACTTGCTTTAAGTTTATTGTTGCAGTGGTGTTTGAATTACCAAGGTTAAACAGACTTAAAGAGTATGTTGTGTTGGGTGATAGCTTGAAATTGATATATGCCTGCATGAAAGTAAAAAAGTGCTAGTACTAAAGCTTTTAACAAAATGCAGGATAACCATCCCAACTTCACCACAAGCAGGTAAATTAACAAAGACATAAGCCATGTGCTTCAGATGTTTGGAAATATCATCCAAAACAGAAAAAGAGCATATTACCTAAAAGAATAAGTGTACTTAAGCATTATATGTATCCTGTTTTCTGTGCTATCTGCAAATCAAATGTTGTTTACTAACTAAATTATGTGTTGAAAAGGCATATTGATATAAGATACCTCTGAAGCTGCCAATCAATTAATGCTACCAAACTTGGATGATATATTGCCAAAGAACACTTTGAAATTTGCTAACAGATTACTGTTATTACAGATTTGATGGGGGAAAGCCTTGGGCTAATTTGGCCATTTCTCTATCAATTTTTTAACTTATTTTGCACAATCAAAGGAATGTAATGGTGTCCTTTCAAGTTATTTGACAGTCCCAATTTAAATTCTAAAAAAATTGATCTTTCTTAGGCACATCATTGCTGACAAACTCTATCATTAACTTTCTTGATTTTAACAAGGCAGCATTATACTAGCTGATGATGAGTGCCCACATAAAAAATTTTAAAGAATAAAAAAATTCAAGGAAAATTTACATAAAAAATGTTTAATTTACTACTTAAAAAATATAATGTGTTTGTTGATGTTTTTGAAGTAGCCCTCTGAGGACAGACAAATATCTCAAAAGGAAATCTCTTCTAGGCAATCAAATCTAAAAAGCATGATTCATTTTTGCTACCCTGAAGTACTAAACAACTTTTCCTACAAACCTCTTTCACCCTGAATCCTCCGTGCCACTCGTAAAAAACATACTGCTGGTAAAGAAACACAGCAAAGAAATCAGAATTCTTTGTTGCATTGTTCTGGAATAGTACAACACCATCTGGGTTGCAGAAGCTGAACTGGAATGTGAACCTGTTTTCAGCAGAAACCCACCAGTTCAATGGGAGATTGGCTTCATCATACACAAAATAACCACTATAGCCAATGAATCTTTCTCCATATGTAAATCTTGATGACCATGCCAAAATGAACACTAGTGCTAAAAATAGATTTAACTAGTCATTAGTTTATTATCATTAATTTTTTTAAAAATATTGCTTTGTATTGCGCTCAATATGTAAACATTAATTTTTCTAAAGGTAACAACGAAGGAATGCTTCTATCAATACAAAGACTTGCCTATCAAATATTCATTTTTCAAAGTTGTATAACATTGAGCTGGGCATAACCAATTATATATATATAGATTTGGATAAGTGACTGTTCAGATTCTACAGAGTATGAAAAATGCACATATCATATAAGTCTAGCAGCCCTTGTCTTCCTTGGTGTCCTTCCCTTCAGATTTATGATTATAAAGGTCATTTTGTTTTGGCTTGAAAAAATTAACTCAGTTTGTACCTTTCCACCCTCAATGAACTTTCAGAAAATTCTTGTAATTCTTTTTAAAGAATTCATAAAACTTACATAGATAGCCTTTGACATTCATATCATCTCGATTTGTGATTATATCGCCAAAAATGTTTCTTGTTCTTGTTTACAAATCTTCCAAGATTTAGGCCGACATTTTCAAACGGGCAATCGACTCTTTGATTACATCCGACCAATCAAGTTGCATGAGTCAGTTCTCATGGAAACGAGACGCCTCTAAAGCTCCTGCACAGTGACGGAGTGATGAAGCCGTATGAAGACAGTGGCGGAGTGATGAAGCAAGTGAGGTAAAGCTCCTGTCAGCCTAATTTTACACAACAAAAAGAAGATTATCTTCTAAATCTTTTTGATTCCATTAATTTCCGGTGAAATTTGGCTGGTAAACTGGTAAAACAATCATTGGTAAGAACTGAACTAACCAAACTGCTTCATTCTTGCAGCAATTTTTTTGTGTCCTTGGTAACGGAGTTAGGACGTGTCTATTTAAATTGCATTTCACAGGTCTACCTTAGATTAACCGTCTAGCAAAATGAGTAAAGTATTATTCATTGTACTAATAGGATGCCTTGTTTTCAAAATATTGGATATCGCCTACATCTTCTACCGTAACAGCAATGAAATTCATACTCCATTATTCAGTTTACCAAATCTTGATGAACTGGAATTAAGCCCACGTGATCATTTTGTTTATCCCGAGGAGGAAGAAAGATTCAACTGGGAGCAAATATTGGAGCCATGTAAAAGCGATTTGAAATGGAAATTTAGGACACCACAGCATCAAGAAAACCAGCGTAGGACAAGTGCCATTGACAGTGTTATAGTTTACTTAGAGGTCAACCCGGCAGGTTATTACAGTAAATTTATTTTGCATACAAAAACAAGGGATGGGAAAGCGAAATCAGTAGGGGGAGATTCATGGAGAGCGTTTTTAACGGGAACAGCGGAACAAAGTGGCATTGTTTATGATAACAATGATGGTACCTATGAGATTTGGTTTTTTATAGCTGAGCCTGGCAACTATGAATTAAATTTAGTTCTTGATTACTCACTATGCGATGGTTTAAGGGATCCACCGGATAGATGGTTTGAGAAAGGAAATTACCAGGGAAAATTTCAAGAAGATGGAATCCTTGGGTATCTTGATGACTTTTTAGTAGAAAGATCCTTACCTGTGCCTTTCAAAGTAAATAGCCAGAACGAGTTTAATGGATCCAAACCAGAAAGAAGTAAACCTAGGTACTCAAATATCAAAATACCATGTCCCAATACCAGTTATTGCAATCTTTCGTGCTTCTTTGTTTGGGATGGGTATGGAAGATGGAAAAACAATGGCGGAAAATACAGCTGGACGCCTAACTTGCCAGTTTTGAATCCTGCAAAATATAATTCAAAGCCCAAGCTTGAGACGCTATGGTTTCTTGGAGACTCGTTAACCTATCGTTTCTGGGATTCGTCTTATACCAGAGTTCTTTGTAGACAAGCTTTTAAAAAATGCAGCAAGACTTACACATGGGTATACAAGATTGACAATAGAGGCGAGCCAAGAAAACCTATAAATGTTGGTCTGCAATTTAATCAAACTCGTTTCTTCGAACCTCTTCGTGATATACTTAGTAAGCCTGAAATGCAGACGAATCGAAGTGTTTTGGTCATAAATTTTGGGCTGCATATTATCACGAGCCTAAATTTTAGTGTGTACCAAAATCTGTTAGATGAATTCGTTCATATTCTAGACCTAAATAGAAGCCAGAGAAATCATTCCAGCAGCCCTCGTATTATATGGAAAACAACCACTTTAACACACATAGAGAACACAAAAGTATGGAACCGGACGTATTCAAGATTTATGACAAATCACAGAATCTCACTGTTTAATGCTTACGCAAATCAGAGGCTATGTTCTGCCGGCGTAACTATCTTCGACATTTTTCCAATATCTGCTTCATATTACAAGGGAACTAAAGATCATGTGCACTATGAATACTTTGTCTTTGAGCCTGCTGAAGACAGTTTAGCAGATTTTGTTTGGAAAAAATATAACACGTAAATTGCAATCATTTTTACAAACTTAGTGACAACCCTGTGTAACAAACCCGACGAAGATTTCTTTCAGGGGGGATAGCAGGTAAATATGACAGGGGACAGAAGAATTTGCTTTGGACTGGCAGGGGATGGGTAAAACTTGCAATCATGTTGGCAGCACTAGGCATCAAATAGGTGTATTTATTTATAACTCTAGAACACCCCCCCACAATGTTGTGTTGTGTTAAAACGAGATCTGAAAGCAGACAAAAAATTTTGGCTTGCAGGGGAGGTTGGGAAATATAAAATATCCTAGGTCTCTCCTAAAGGGGACTCCCGATCAGAAGATTTCTCAAAAAGAACGGTTTTCACCGGGTTTGCTATACAGGGTGTATCAATTTAATCAATTTTTTCTTTACACATTCTTATCAACAGTGTTATATCGCAATTCCTCGATTAAGCGCCCAGACGCTTAGTTGAAACTTGGACATATTGACTTGGCCTAATTTCGAGAAGGGAGGGTGCTCAATAAATAGGACGCAAGGAAAAAACAATTATTACAAGAAGTTTTGAACATCAACTGGGTTTAACATTCGTCTGAAATCTCTTTAAGAAAAGCTATTTTCATAGTGCTATGATCGCTAAGACAATTTAAAAATGATTATTGATTTGAATGATTTAAGCTAGTTTCATATATAACAAGTCAACTTTTCTATGCGTTTAATTGCTGTTAACTATTTTATGTAATGCATGCTATTTTACTAGACCTACTTAGCTCCTCTAAAATGAAAACACTTAACATATTTAAAGGTACGTTGGCTTAATATCAAAGTATAAATCAGGTGTTTCAGACAATAGATCAACCTAGTATGATAGCTGTTAGTCACTGCTTGCTTATTAACTACAAGATTATTAGACTATTATAAAATTCTTTCATGAAATGACGTCTTTCTCTACCCGAGATGTCGCTCACACCGCATGTCTGCATTCTGCGTTTCCATGCTGTTAGATCGTTGAAGCACCTAATATTCAAATCTTTAAAGTTCTGGTTAAATTTCGACGTTTTCTGCAATGATATTCCTTTTTTCTGTCAGTAAGCTGATCAAGAATCGATTTACTAGCTCTGGTAATATCGTCCTCTTGCACCCAGAAAGATGTGGCGTGAGCTTCAATCTTAAAAAGTTACTTAAACTCCGTGTTTAAGGTTCCTGTATAGTAAACACAATTAAAATGCATCTTCGACATCAATTTTTGATTTATTCGCAGACTCCACAACTATCTTTGCAGTTTTCTTGCATCCATGATGGATTTTTACTACATTCGCCTCCTCTGGCCCACATTTTGCATCTTGGGTGTTTATCAAGACAATCTAAAATGATAACAACATTTGAACAATGTTTTTTTTGGTTTTAAGCGAATTTTTAAATCCGATCAAAATCAAATTAGTAATTAATTGACAATTTCACTAAGATTAGGTAGGAAGTGTTTTTCATTTTTTATGATTCTTCTTTCTTATTATTCTATGGTTCTTCTTTCTTCCTTCTTTCTATGAGATATTTTTTCATTTTCAAATTCCAGCTTGAAGGTATCTCGCACTATGATGTAATATTTTTTCAAAGCCATTTTCAAGTTCTGTACCGCCAAAAATTGTATCTAGCACTCTATGCCCTCACACGTGATTTTTCACTTTATGATTTGCATTTGATCTTGTCTAAATTATTATAATTCATTATTTTATGCTTTATTATGCTCCAACCGGAAAAAAGCAATTCGCAGAGTAATGCAAAAACCGTCTCTTCGATTACCTTGGAGTGTTGCGATTGGACAACTCTTAATACGGATACAGGGCCAAGGGCGTATCAGAGAGGAACAAAAGCTGTCACCAACTGCAGATAGGTGAATAAGAAAATATTGCGTTCGAATGTGTGTTCTCTGGGGCTTAATATTCTTGTCTAATCCAAGGTCAAAAGATTTTACATTCGGATATTTTGTGAAATACCCTAACGCGGCCGCTAACGAAATTTGTGTTCTAAAAAATCATGTCTCTGAATTTGTGTGTGGTAAACAGGATCATGCATTTAGGATATATACTGCAGCAATATGAAGAGTTACATCAAAGTCAGAGCCGGTTGTTCGTATCCATGTTATCTACAAACCTTGGCATGTCCTACAGCAATTTACCCAGCGATCAGCACTGCACATACCCAAATCATCTCTTACAAGAGCCGCACATTGACCTATTTTGTCCACGCAGCGTTCCTCTGTTGAGAATGAATTACGAAGGGCTTCAGTTAATTTTATACAAGTAAGATTTTATTAAGTAGCTTTGAGGTAGAAACACAGCTGACACTGATCCAAAAAACAACCATGAAAGGAAGGAAGCTAGGAATTGGAGCTATTTTATGACATCACAATCTTTAGTACAAAACTAAACGAATGTAAATTGAATGACTAAGGTCTTCAACCCTTACTATTGATGGGTGATCACATTACATTTGAATGACATAGCATATAAGGATTTAAATACTGTAGGATGATATGTCATAATGTTTTCTAGATAATCTGATATAATATCATAATTTTAGAAATAAACATCATGTTTTACCTGAGCACGCCTGGCAACACTTTCTTAACATGTATGCAGGATTTTTGAAACATTCTCCATTCTTTGCCCAATTCTCGCATTGTAAATGCAGATTGGTACATCCTACGAACATATTCAGAGACATTTAGAAATCATCTCCTAATTCCAATTTGCAATGACGTTAGGAAGAAAGAACATGACAACCAAAGCACCGCTCCAACAGCAGAAACATTTTCGTGCTTTCATGAATGTTGACAAATAGTATTAAAATCAATACTGGCAAGAGAATGTAGTGATCGCATGTAGAATTTCACAGAGGCGACGTTTCAGAAGGCTAAAGATAATTTTTTTTTAAAAATTAACGAAGAAGTAGAAAATTTTTTGAAGGTTTCCGATAAATTCTGTGCTTCAGTGGATTGGGGCTAGAGCCTCTATCGTAGATCATTAACCTTGATCTTTTCTTACAAATCAAACATTCGTGATGACAAAATCTGCAATTGTGATGGTTCAATGTGAAGCAAATAAAACAATTATGTCTATTTACACAGTTATGCATTTTTATAATGTAGCCTTTTTAAAAAGACCCGTTTGCTGAGAAAAGAGGGACTTTTCAAATTCAAAAAGGGTGGGTTTAAGTCAAAATTTTGGTTTATTTCAATTTTCTTAAGAAAGTGTCAGTACACCAGTGCTTTCTAATTCCTGTACAACAAATTATCCTACAAATGAGGAAGACATATAAATCCATCCCTTTTCATTATTAATTGCAAGTAAAGCATAAAAATGCAATGTCACGAGTGAGTACGAACTTTGTATTCCGTCGATGCATTCGCCATCATCAAGATACACATCATCAACAAGTATTTTAGAGATCTTTGAACCTCCAAAGCGGTACGCAAACTTCAACTGAAGAAATAAAGATTTCATATCACGTTATGCACGCTTTTACTCGATAAATCTATGTATTTCCTACGACAGACACCTGAAGAACAGCATGCAAGATCTTGCAATAATCAGAAAGAGGTACATCCTACGAATAATCAAAAATGAAAACGATAGAAAGCTATAGCATATAAAGTTGTCGATTCTGGGGCATAATTGATGTTACCATATACTGTTAGTTATCGTTATTTTGCATTTAGGCCATCCTAAGATGAGCCTCTCACTTGCATTTTCATGTTACTTTTCAAACAATTTTTAGGGGTACAGAATTTTTAACTTGGCTTTGAAAAATTTCACATTTGTTTTGGCACATCTAGGTGCGAATCTATAATCAAGGAAATAAAAGGGTGTAACCTATTTGCCGATTCTAAACCAGTCTTAAATTGATTGCAGTTCCTTTTCAGATAGAGCATGGTTGAGTACCATCACAGAAAAGCCACTTTTCTTTAAAGCACAGAGCTGTTACCTATTTTATATTAAGTAATGGGTATTTTGTGCTCTTCCATTGGTTTTACCAATACGACGTCTATAGGCTTTATTAAAAAATTTCAAGATGTGATCGCAACAAATGTCAATATCAAGACGATATCAAGATGTCAATAAGTTTTGTGCACTTTTCCACTCAACAAAACAGTTACAGCAAAAAGGGAGGGATAAGGGGGCATAATCACCGCACTTATCTCCTAATAAATTGCTAATTATAAAGGTTCTTTTTTCCCTTTCCGACGTAGCTTCTAAAAGTACAATCTCGGTGTTAACACTTGATGCCGGATACGCGGCTATTTCTTTTGCACTGCACAATAAGCTAAAATTGCAGTCCAGTACAGTTCTGTATGATTTCCTAGCATAATTTCTATACAATTTCTTCTGAATTCATAACATCTATGGATGTAACCTTTATATAAATTGTTAATATACTTCCAATGTAAATATAAAGCAAGAACAAACATGCCTTGTATCTTTCGTCTGTTATTGGCAGAGTTGCTGCACCTTGTTTCCACTCCTCTCCCATATCTGTGGTTCTTTCCCAAAGCATCATATGGCGTCCCGATTCATATACAATACGCAGTTGCAAACTTCCTACATCTCGTCCACTCATCAAATAAAAGAAGTTCAAGCATTTTTTAAAGTCGTTCTTCTTTATAAAAGAGCTAACAAGGTATGCAGCTTGGCCCTTTATGCAGCTTTTGGTACCAACTGTGAGAAATGATCCTGCAATGAAAGAAACAGTGATACTCTTGTGATAGTAAAATCAAATGGAAAACGAATTTGATATAATAACGATTCATTCTCGCGGAAGAAAATCAGAGATCAGCCGTAACAGAATTCGTTTTCTATTCATGGGAGGCTTGTGTTTCCCCTCTTATATACAAAATGCTTGAAGACAAATATCGACAAACTTTTGATCTCTCTACAAATATAGTTGTTACAAAATGATGGCAAGCCAGCCTCTTTGTAGGGTTGTTAAGAGTTACAGGCGCGCAACTACGGGGGGGGGGTCCTGGGGGTCCAGACCCCTGCCCTTTTTCTCAAAAGGGGAAAAGTGCCCTTTTTCTTGGAAAATTGCTTGAATATTTTGATTATTACGCTAAAATGGTTGGTCATACAGTAAATGACACACTACGGAGATGTAATGGACCTCCCAGGAATACAGATAAATTATTTAGTCAATTTTTCACGTACTTGTTGGGTCGAACGTCATCATGTTGCAGTAATAGAGTATATCTTCAAGCCCCAACTCTACAGCGTGTTTTATGATGCGTCACGCACTGGCTTTGAAGAAGAATGGTTCTGGGACTCAAAAACCAAAATATAGGCACAAGATTTTGAACGGGATAGAGCCTCTACGACCTCTGGTAAGAGCTTGTAAGAGCTTGTTGGGTCGACCAAGACATTTTTCAAGCCTGTCACATAGTTGACAGGGTCATAGAAGACCTTTGCATGAAACGAGCGAATGCAGAGAAATATTCGCGGACTGGTTTTAGAAAGCAGTAAAGATGGCACAAAAAGTTGATGTTCAGCTGTTCCGTTCCTTGTCAGTATTACAAATCAGCTGAAAGCAAGACTTGGAGACAGAAACCAGCTAAAGCCAAGGCTCGTGGAACTGTTCAACCTACTCCCACTGTAGTGCGAAGCAAAGGATTCAATAATAATATTTCAAAGAGCAAAATGTCTTCGGATATGGAAGATGATGGGCTGCTATTCAAAAGTGAGCTGGCGCTGGGAAAAGGAGATGACAGCAGGGTCGCCGAGAGGGGGACAAAGGGGCAAACTGCCCTAGGGCCTCGAGGTCTAGGGAGCCTCACAAAGCAACGAATTCCGTTTTTAAATGGAATTTATTAAAAGTTACAAAATTACAATTAAAAAGTAAAACATCTTAAACGAATTAGTGAATTTAAGCTATTTGCAAGGGTGTGGTGGCAAAATTTTTGCTCGCTTCGCTCGCAAGAGGCATTGTTTTTTCCATTTCCCCCCTCCCTCGGGCCTCCTAAACTTCTCGGCAGCACTGTACGGCAGACAGAAAGAAGTCATTTGCATAGTTAAAATTAAAAGGAAAAAGTAAATCACACCTCACCACAAAATAAACCGTACACCACAACTTTTCTCTATTGATCAGTTTCCCTTGTCTGGCGTACAATATTTACAGATTTACTAACTGCTCATATTTTCGCCGTACCTAAACAAATGCCCCGGTGGACCTTTAATGAAATTTAATTAGTGCCCTTTTTGTGTCTTGGACCCCTGCCCTCTGAAATTTCTGGTTGCGCGCCTGAGTTACGTCTCAAAATGCCGTAAATGAGGTATTAATTTATATTCAATACCATTAAGTGTTAGACTATAATCTATGGCAATATGTAAAAGGCATTTCAAAACAAGAATGATGCAGGCAAAGACCAAATCACTCAAATATAGTCATCTATGATTGTTGATCTGGGAGTGAATCATCGTGTATGATGAGCTGTAATTTAAACACACCTATTCCTGTTGTATGGTCCTTCAAGGTGTCGTTGGCCTCTGTCCTAGCCCACTCACATGAAGTCGCCTTTTGTGGTTTGACTTCCCACATTCCTGAATTTTTGTCAAAGTTTGCATCATATGGAGCTAGAAAGAAGTAGTGAAAATTGGAAGCTATTAGGATAAAATATATAATAGTAACGAAGAAGAACAACATAAAATAAGACGGTTTCAGTTGATAGCAAAGATAAATCAAGGCGGTAACATAGAAATGAAACAGCAAAGTTGTCCAGAAAAAGCAAAAAATGTATGAAATATTGACAGCAACACATACTAAAAGCCTTAATACTTTATTTACCTTAAAAATCTCAATTTCCAAGCTTTCGTATTTTCCTTTATTTTCAAATAATTTTTTTGGGCTACAGAATCTAAAACTGGCTTTGAAAAAGGCAAATATTTTAAGACATTTGGTTACGTAGGCCTCACAACCCGAAGATTTGGGAAAGAAATGGAACAACAAAAATTTAATCCTGAGAGGACAGCCTTCTCGGTCTTACAAATCCAAAATGTTAGTCAAAACGTGTGATTGTACCAAAAACTATCGTGGGGGAATGTCTCTTCATCTAGCAGTTTTGAAATAATCCACCCTAAACAAGCCCCTGGGAATCTTTTGGTGGGCGACTTATTCGAGGGGGGCACTTACAAAAATAATGACAATGTTGCCACATAGATATCTCGTTTTGTAGCTTTGTAAAGTTCAGTTCATTTGTAATTTCACTTAATGAAACTTTCTAAAATCAAAACAAAGTATAGACCAAACCTAGAAAATATTTTAGTCCAAAATACGGTTATGCTCAGTGGCGGCGCCAGCTATTATAGAGTGGGAGGGTAATGGGCGCGGCCAGGGGAACCACGCCCCTTTTGCCTCGTTTTAATGATTTGTACCTAGTTAACTTTCCTTGGGAAATCTGATCTACCTCTACCCAGCGTTTTTTAATCCATTTTTAAAAGAAATATGTAGACCATATTTTCAGAAAAGTGGGGGGGGGGGTAATTACCATACCACTCTTTGGCGCCGCCACTGGTAATGCTTATTGCTTGGGGTAGTCTCTTCATTAATGTCTTGTTTATTATAGGCTTTTTCATTTGTCACTGAATGTGTAATCAATTATGGACTAGATGTTCTGACGTTTCATACTCTGAAGATTATTAACAAAAAGCTTTAGTATGTTTTGATTTTGAATTATTTCAAGGACAAGTATTCAATAGACAACCTTAAATGCGACAAAGGGTCGAAGCGCAGCGTGGTAGCGTCGCAAACATTTTTTATTAGAGACGTCACAATATAATATGCAGGTACCGGTGTTTACTTCCAACTGCATAATTTGATAATAAGTAGCAGGGTCCTGGTAACGTACTTTTTCAAAGAAAATTTACTTTCTGGGTGTTGTTTGCTGTTGCTTGGTATTTTTTCAGTACGATTGAAAATTCCAATAATATGCCCTGTCGTTTCCATCGTTTTTTTAACTGGTTTAAACAAATGAAAATCCAAAAATCAGTTATAGTAACTGCAAGAGCACTTTTACACATTAATGCAGGAAAGGTGTCCGATATTTAATTGATATAAATAGGCATTTCTATAGGCTTTGCAAAATAATTTTTCATCTTTTAGTAACTCTAAGCCCATTTGGTCGAAGCTCTTGCTGTCATCTGCTCGTATTTGTCAATACACAAAAAACAAAAAACATATTTGACATACACTTAATACACTTTTCGGTTCTGCAGATCTTCATTTGAAGATTTCTTTGTTTGCAGTCTTCCCATATACAGACTTCCTGGCGAAATCGCTGTCCAAGACCACATGTTCTGGAACAGGCAGACCATTCTGTCCATTTAGAAGCACCCGGCATGACAACTGGCTCCTCAGTAGTTGCTGGCAAAACACAAAATATTTAAGATATAATCTTTTTAAGACGTCAAGTATGAACATGTAAAACTAGGATCTTATAATTCTTAAACATTTTTTAGATATCGTGAACAGATAGCATCAGATAAAATGACATACCTACACAAAGAGAGACCTCTTTGTCACTTCCCTATCATATATTCTTCCTATTTTTAGCCTTCATCCTAAGCTTCTTTTCAACACACTCTTCATACCTTTATTAGTTTCATTGCATTGGAATATGAGCTTAGGAGAAGGCTTTAAGACTGGAATTAAGTTTCAAATACAATAAGTCTGCATCCAAAAATGTTGTTGCTCATACACCTATTCGTTGTTGATTTATTGGCATGAGGCAATTAGGCAGTAAATATGGCCCCAACATATGTGACAAAAATCTGACGAATTTTAGCAATATGATAAAACATTTACAATACTGTTAGTGTTTTTGCATCAACACACTGTAAGTACCGGACAGCTATCATAACAAAAGTATAACCTTTTCACAAGATGAAGAGACAAAGTTTTCCAGAATGAAATTAAATAAAAAAGTGACGAAGGTTCAGTACAACGAATGAGAGAAAAAATATTTTTTTACCAGATTCAAGATCGGGAGGATAGTTGTACTGAACCTATACCTATTAGAGGTAGGTAATTGCATTGATGCAGTAATTGAGCTTGCAATTGACATGTTTGAGCAATTTAAAAGCATTGCCTAAGTGTTCCTAATAGTTGCTACAATAATATCCTCCCAGTAATTAACCTTTTACTTTTAGCTATTTCGGAATATTTTATGAACAGCTTTTCTTCAAAACCTGAGTAAATCATCTAACAAATAGCATTAATGAAACTACCATAAATTATCGCCTGTTTTAGAGAGGCACTCATTCAAAGGGGGCTTGCAGCAAGAAAAAAAACTGGATTTTTGTGGAACTGAATTTTATGATAGCTCTATCAAAAAGTTATTCAGTCAATAAAATCTCTGTTCTGACTTGGGGACGTATCTAAATACTTACGTTTGTCGTTACAGAACATTCTATTGAGTTTTTCAATATCCAGTTGACTTAGATCAGTTCCACCAAGAACTTTATTAGGGTTGTGCCGTGCCTGTAGCGTGATTCTTGATCCTTTACCATAAGCTGTCCTTGGGAAGTGCATGATTGAGTTGAAATCGTACTGGAAGTGGTACATGTCGGTATTGTAAAGAGTATGGCGATGAAACACGTTAGACGTCCCTAAAAGTACAAATAAATACAACAGAGGATATTAGATCTGAAGTAAATATTGTAAATTCTATTGAGCGAGGAAAGACAAGGGTAATTTCTAAAGGACGTAAAGGTGCTGTTATAGAATTTAAAAGGGTAAAAGGGTTACAGAACAGGACATCTAGACGGACGCCAAACGATATCATCAAAGATGAAGCAATAGGAAAAAAGCAACATCGTAATGCACCAAGAGAAGAACACAAAATGAATGCATAAATGATATGTTGTGTGCAGATATTTCTCCCCGACATACAGGGTTTCCCCAGAGCTGAACTGATTGTCATAAAATTGGCTGTTAATAATTGGAACCAGCAACTCTAAGCAGTACCTATGAACTTTAGAAAAGATACAGAAACTTTTTTAAAGGAATTTGTAACAGTTTTAATAGCAAACAACTGTCTACAACCCAGTTAATTTTACTTGGCAAATCCAAGAGTCCACGGCACACTTCAATTTTTTCAAATTTTCGAGCAAATTTCACCCCTTTTGCTCCCCATCCTCACAATTACTATGTTGATAGATTCGTTCAGCTGAATAAACGTCACAAGGAAAAATACGTTTGAAACCGAATTCTCTGTACTGGAACGTTGGAGTCAAGCAGTGGACGGCCATAAGAGGGGGGAGGAACGAAAAACAAACTCTGCTTTATAGTAAACCTGCGCTGTTTTTAGGGAAGAAGATGGCCGGTTTACTCGAGCTAGCAAACTAACGTTAGAATTCCAATACTTTATGCAGTGGTTATTTGTTAATACTGATTCTAATTATGATTTGAAAGCTTTTTACTTGACTCTCAGTAGCACATTGAAGGTAGACAATCGAACAAGAGGAAGATCGAGAGTTTGAAATCCAACGTGGTTAATTATAAATAATAACGTAAATTATAATTAAGCAATAACCTATTTGTAGAAACAGGAACAAAACATAAGCCATTTGCTATGAACAATCTCTACAAAAGCTGCAATAGAAAATAGATCCTGAGACAAGGTTTTAGCTAAATTTCTCAGGTGATGCAAGAACCAAAATTTAGAAAAATCTATAGATGAAAATTCTGACAGGGAATTAACGGTGATGAAGCCCTTCTTTGAGAACAACTTTTTCTTAAGTTGTAGTTTATACTACTTACATATTTTTAAAAAGCTTAGCGATAGCTGCTAGCGCAAACATCTGAAAATGCATTTGAAAAGTGAAAGCACATTATCGCCATCAGTAACACAGTATTACTCAACTAGTTTTCAAATTTGCTTTTTCTGTTATAGCAAAAAAGTGAAAGAAGTGAATTTCAAAGGCTCTGAGCACCAAAAGCCTTTTGGGATGTTCATTTTCTTTAACGATTTTTTTAGACTCGACTTACCATCTCTGACGTTGTTCCAGTTCACTCTAACGTATTCGTTCCTATCTTGCCGATTTTGCTCGTGAAGGAAACCTAAAAAGTGAAATTTACTTTTATAGAGAGGGAAAAGAGACAACGTCGTAAAATCTACGCTCGAACCCCCACCTACCAACTGCCCGTCCTTCAACTTTGCTCTGGATTCGCCCCTGGTTCTTTCTCGGGTTACGATGTAAAAATTAAGATGCTACTCTAGCATAATCAAGCCAAATGTGGAAATCGCCCGTCTTACATATTAACATTTATAGGAGCAAAGCGTCTGGGGGCTTGTTTCCTTGATAAATTCATATGGCAATGATTTTTCAAGTAGCTATGCCAATTTTGTCTGGAACCCATTGTTTTGAAATTGTAAAGTGAACAGGATAGGGTATCCAGGTCATCAACCAACCCCCTCCCTCTCACTTCTGAGCTAACGCATACATAGTACTCCCTGCATTTTGAAAAGTCATCTTTCTTTCAGAAATATGAAAAATTTTTAGCAATGGAAACATTCAAGTAATTAAGTTATTTTTATTGTTTTATTGTATACAGTTTCTAATATAAGGTCTCTTTAGGTTGTATGCCTTGAAATTGGTTTACATCGTAGAAGAGACATGTCCGAGACATCAGAGTATTTTAGCCTATGTTTCCCAAACAGATTGAAATGCTCTATGACGTCAGGACGTCAGCTCAAAAATGTGTCTAATTTTTAATATCATCATTTTATTGCCAGCAAATAATTTTTGGTATCAAAAATGAGAGTAAGATGCGGTCAAAAAAGACTTATCGCGTTGGAAAGCTAAAACTTACTAACCCAAAGCATGGAGCAGCATGTGAAGAGCAATATCGACCTTCCAACATTTCTCCCCCAGTGATATCCAAGTTGGTAGCTTATCCCAATATTTCCTGCCAAGCTCTGAAAAGCAACTGAATTTATACCACAGCGTTTAGTATCATGGATGACAACATTTATTCAAAACTTTATTAAGAAAAAATGAAAATAGTTAGTTTTGAGAAGAAGTACAAATTATGCGAATACTTTGGAGCAAATACTTTTTGAAACTTAGGCTATTCATTAAAGTAAATATAATTGAATTCTTAATTTTTCATGCTGAAGGTATAAGAGATTTTATCAAATTTAGTATTACACAAATTTAGAATTTCACAATACACCAAAAATTTATAGCATCTTCATACAGATAGAATTAGAAGATGTTGATCAAAGAATAGAATGGTTTAAAACTTGAAATAAAGCAAAAATTATATAGATATCCTCAATTTTCATTCAGCCCCTATTGTGAAATACAGAAAGAGACCAACATGTTCCAACTATATACAAACATCATGATACTATATACAAAACAATCCCAATATAATTGTATAAATATCGTATAAAATTACAGCTGAACTCCGAACGAAACGTGAAAGCATGAAAGCATAATAAGGCTTATTTACAATGTGGGGGTCACGTGATTAATGTCCCGACTAGGGTCCAGACGTCTTTAAAATAAATTACAGACATTGTCTTTTTCATGATACTGGCATGTCTGCAAACCATATTTCTTTCCTTTCGCTATCAAATTCAATTTTTCAAGTAAAGATTTACCAAAATCAACCGTAGTGTAAAAGGGACCACGAGAATTATATCCCTCGATTTTTTCAGTTTTCTGAACAATAATTGTGACATAATACATACCCAGATCCATCAAAAAATTCTATCCAGTTATGATCCGATTGAAATTTTCTGCGAAATCTAATACATGTTTTCGACTGTATGGTTTTGATGGCAAGTTCCACAATTTTTTCAAATTTTTCTGTTAAACGAAAAAAATAAAGGAATGTATTAAATAGAAAGGGTTAGATTGATTGATTAGGATAACTAAGTTTTTGTACACCGTAATCAATTATGCAAAATGAACACTTAGACCTGGGTGTTAATTATAGCTAACATCAATGGAAGACATAGGTTCTGACTTTAATTTGCTCCCTTTCCAAGTTTTGAGATTTCACTAGCACTGCTAGCAAAAAGATGATATTATCTCGTATTTCAGGTTCAGTTTAAATCAATTTATCAAGGTCTAGGAATAATTTTAACTCTTTTTAAACATGTCTGTAATAAAATTCAAAATTAAAATAAGAATAAGAACCATTTTAGATATTAGGGGGTAAGGCTTAAACCCTTCTTACCCCCATGCTTCCATCCTTCCTTCTTTTTTAGAGTATAGAAAGCTCTGTTGGAAGTCCATGAGAAATCTATAAACAGTTTGACAACTTTAGATAACACAGATCAAAATTCAAAAGCTTTGTCAACATCTTGTTATTTTCCATACCCCTGAAAATGAACATTCTAACACATTCTTCAACTATAGTCGTGGCATGTTTAAGCTCCTCTGGAAATTTTCATCAAAACCTGTTTATTTGCAATGCATTTTTCCTATTTATTTGCTTATTTGTTTATTTGCAATGCATTTTCAAAACCTGTTTATTTGCATATGCGGATGTTCAAACTTTGCTGTATATTGAAGATTTCTTCCATTATTTCTCCTTGAAACGTCAGAACATGCAGCGGAAAGTGCAAGCACATAATACCTACCTTTATTCCCAGCCTTTATTCCAGTGAATGTTATTTCATATGGTATATCGCCCCTTGGCCACATTTTATCTGTATATGATATATGTGTCTTCTTATCTTCCTTCCTTGTATCGCTTGGATGAGATAAAATTTCTTTATCTCGTTTGTCTAGCATTAAACATCCTTCGAACAACTGGTCGGCCAAGTCTGAAAAGTAAATTTTCTATTATCAAAATAATAAAGATAGTTAATGATAACATTGAGGGCTAAGGAACACGCTCGTTTTACGGGGGAAGGGAGACTAGCTTCTCGTGCTCTAATACTTAGTTGATTGTGTGGCTTAAAAAGAATGTTTTTTGAGCCCCGAAATCCAGTTTAGCCGTGCACTGGCCAGCCAAAAAGCTAGAAAAGATAAAAGGATCAGTAGCATGGCTAGTGCAATACAACGCTAAACTTTTTTAAAGTAACAATAACTGGCATGTTGGAGAGAGATTGCAGCGATTGCAACTATGTCAAATGCCCGATGCAGCATTATAGCTTCGCAATAGAGCATGGGTGCTCTCGTGTTAAAGGAGAAAGCTCATTTTGTATCAAAGTACAATACTCTTTGTAATTTTGATGTTGCATCATCTAGACCCTCCCCGTCAAAACTGGCGATAACATCCTATCTTTACTTTAGTTGGTCGGTTTATGTCTGCCCTGGGTACCTCACTCTATATAAAATAATAGAGTGATAATAAAGTAATTTTTTTTCATATAGTGAGTCTGGTACCCAGGGTAGTTTATGTCTAACTTTTCCATGAGTGCCAGAGCTTCGAAATACACCATAGAAACAAGGAAAGGAAATATGAAAAATAAAAATAACCCTCTCATCCCGCTTTCTGTTCTTTCTTTCTTTCTATTGTATATCAGATGGAACTCTGGCAGGCAGGGTACTTAGACTTCTGACATCAATGACGTCAAAATGGCCAATACAAATATATTTATGAGTAATATATTCTCTCCCAATAATATATTCGAATAGGAGCCAAATTCTGTACAAAAATCTCAGTGAAGCGTAATAATGCACGTGGTTTTCACTTCATCCATACATGTATGTGAAAAAAAGATAGCTCAAAGTTGCACCGAACTAAACAACACAGAACAATCCTCTTCTACACGTCACATTGTACAACATTACCTATAGAAACACTCTGCAACATGTTGTCAGGTTACGTTCAATTTAAAGCCTCATTTCTTTTATATTTGTTATCAGCGTCTATTTTAGAATATCAAGAAGGAAGTTTATTCTTCAGTTAGCGCTATTTCTTAGGTATGGCTTAAAAGACATTTTATCTAAATACCTGACATTCTACCTTACTTATATTCTGTAATTGGCGAAAGGGTTGTTATGTTATTACATGCTCTCTTCTTTAACCTTGCATATTGCAAATCTATTCGATTCTTTTGCAACTCCTATGAGCATGTAAAAATACTCTTCAACGGACTGATCAACAGTAGCCTAAATTAGTTTGTTTGATACAGTAGAGCCTCCATTAACGATACCTATATACAACGAACACCTTTCAACAACGGACAAACATTTTTGTCCCAAATGCTTCCAAAGGAATCTCTTCAGAATGGACACCTCGCGACAACGGACAGATATTTTGTCCAAAATGGTCAAGACTCTCTCTTAAAGAAATCTCTATGCAACGAAAACCTTTCTATGGAGGCTCACTCATTTCAGGATCAGATTTAGCCACACTTACGCATTTCAGGATCAAAGAGCCGGTTCATTCTTTCATCATCGGATCCAGGTTTTGTCTTTTCATTAATCTCTTGGACATCCCCTGTGGCAGTGTGATCTCGAGGATCTGCAAAGGCAAAAAATCAAATCGTTTCGTTGCCATTCAGAAACGACTTTTGACTATTGATTCAGTAAGCAAAGGGACGGGAGAAGAAGATGGCATGTATGGTGAAGAGCTGGAAAAACAATGCAAAACTCAAAATTGTTATACTTCCCTAATTGCTCAGGCAATCCTTAGACATTTATGTTACAAAATCTAATGTCAAGTATCTACACTGATGCTAAGCATCTATAGGTAGATGTAGATGAAATCTCATCCTCAAAAATTATTTTTCGATTTAACATTCTAATTTCGGCTGCAATTTTCTGAGCATCATTTATAATCACGTTACCTCATCGTTCAGTAACCTAAAATCCAATTCACTTCAAAATTTGCAATTTTACATTTTATTAAGAGTTTAATCACAAGCGAGGCAAGAAAATGAAAGATTGAAGAAAGAATATGGCTTGAATATGATATGAACTGCATATGTAAATAAATTAATGTTAGTTAAATGGACGCTTGCAAGTTTTGCACTTTTAAGATACACACAGACAAGCTTGTTTGCCCTTGAACTTGGCTCGTACCAAAAACCCTTGTATCAAATACATTACTCTTCTAATTTGCCTGTTATCTTCAACTAAAAATTATCGCGTAAATACAGTGCTTACCTGAAGAGCGATCAAGGATGAATTCACTGTTTTCAGTTGTTGATTCTGTAATGAACAAGAAGCTATGTGTATAATTTTCATGATTGTATAAAATTAATCATTTAGGGGATCTGATCCAATACTAGAGATCATACCAACATCTTTCTGCCTGACTGTTAAGTGTCGGAGAAGTTGCAACATGCGATCTTGATATGTCAGGTATCGAAGTATGCTGTAAACTTTCATATTGGAATTTCAGGTGTTGAAGACTGTCTCTTCAAATTTCATATGGCAAGTTACGTCATATTTATACAATATATGATATGTTAAGGTAAGTGCTTCAGTGTTTAGTACTGGATGGCTTATCATTACCGTAAGTATCTAATTCTAAAAATCTTAATGCAAAAACTAAGATAAATTTATGTTACCTAACATCAAAACACAATACAAAGTTACTTCAGTGAAAAAAGTACCTACTGATAAATGCAAAAACTAAATTTCTAGATACCTCAAGGGAAAGTCAACTAAACGAAATGATAATTCAAAAACAGTGGTTACTAATTGCTTGATTATCATATTTGAGCATAAACTCAGTGTTAGCTTTGTCAAAGCAAAGATTTATTGAGACTTGCATGTGATCGAATAAACGTGATACCAATTTGAACATTTTCGTTCTACTTTGGCAAAAATCCCATTTGACCCCGATATTTGCCCGATTTTGGGAAATCCCATTTGTTTTGATTAAACGTTCGTATCCTAATTACAAGAGTGAATTGTCTTGTTAACTGATGTTATCTGATACTCTAGATGCAAAGCAATACTAATGCTTGGAAAGCCAAGTGAAAATTTGCATGGAAAATAAGCAGTTTTCTGAATCGTCAAACATTTACATAATATATTTGTACGCTCTTCTAACAGAAAGATCTCTTAGAATCTTCTTACACAGAAAGAAAACTTCTAATAGATATGTCTTAGAATTTTAGAGTGACATGGTTACCAACACTTAGTCTTTTACCGCAAATGCATTTTTAAAATTTCAGAAATTTACAATGAATTTGTTGATGCATTCATTCCACGTTAAACTTTGCTTCAAAAAGAGTTTTTGATTACATGAAATAAGCCGGCATAAGTACTTTGTTTTCTTACCTCCAGAGCTTATTTCCCTAGCAGATACTCCACGTAAGGTAGCAATAATAAAAACAGGGAACCAGAAGCACCGCATTATATCCTCTTGCATGGAATCTACTTCTATTTGTTGTTTGTTCGTTTGTTTGCTTAAATGATATCTATGGAGTTAACTGTTAGTCAAAATACGTCTCTGCTTGTACCGGTCCATGTACGTCGAAGTTAATGGTGCATGCATGACCTTTATGCATAGTGAGTAACTTTACTTGTACCATCACATGAAAAATTCATGTAATTGGTATGATTACTATTAACTCTAAATTTAAAATATTTGATTAACCATTTATCATATCAGTAAAGAATCATTTATATAGCTTTTGGTTCTTTAAAACTGATAGAATTAAAAATTGATTCGAATTTCATTATTAAATATATCAGATAACCTGCTTATTAAAGCAGAACTCAGAAATCAATAACGTATTGATTATGCCAGCTCCATAGTGCTACTCTCTTAATGACTAAATATCTCTTCGAAATACATATGGAACAGGAACTGCAACAGAATGTACAAAGAACAGTTGTTTTTACGTCATCAATCAGTTTGTTACTAGAGCACCTTTCTACGGTTATCAAGGTCTACGATTTATGATTGAAGGGACACAACATTGTACAATATGAGCACCATGTGTTTGTCGCGTGATCATGCCACCAGTCAATATTTTAAGCAATGAGAATGATGCAAACAATCGTATATATACAAAATTGTAAATTACTTGATAGTCTTTTGGATCATTTGGAATACATAACTTCACAAGAGAATACATGGTTGCTGTTTCTTTTTTATACCACAACAAATATGAAATTCTAAGTTTTCACCATTTGCAGAGCACTGCAAATCATCTGATTACAAAAAGAAAATTTTTTGTACAAATACATCAATATTTACTAAAAAATGTCGGAACTGGAATAAAACTCACGGATAAAGATTTGAACTCAAAATCACATAAGCAAACTATTAATATGGCAGAACTGATGCTGAAGACGGTCGATTTCAATTGGCGGCTGATTTCCAAACTTTCAATTCTAGAATACTTTAGCTGAAGAAACAAGTTTTAAATGAGAATCGATGTTTGTATATGTTTGAAAAGTTACAATATAAATGATCGATCTAGAAGCCTTATTCACTGTTTCAATTTGCTTCAGTGGCCTGTAAACGTATAAGTATCCAGTAATAAAGAAACTTTCCCTAAAGAAACTGTCCATGGCTTAAAACTCTCTCCGACTAACTTGCTGAGAAGCACATATCTCATCATTAGGAAGATATAATTTAAAAATTAATATATGACTACTGTTTCAAGGCTATTGCCTACAAACATTGCAACTTTTTCTGCAATTGTCAGACATCCAGTCAGCGTTGCTTTCACATTCACCGTCTGCAGCCCAACCAGAACATCTGTTGTCATTATCAAGGCAAGCTGTAACGTGATAAATATATTATGAATATTTAAAAAACTCGCAAGTCAAAATACTTTCCAAATTCAATCAAAACTATTTTGAAGTGTAACTACTTCCATATGCTCCATTAGACGGCGGAGAAAGTTCTCGGTTTCCAGGAAACGTGCCTAATGTCAACTTCAGGATATGAAAGTGGCCTGCAGTTTTTCTTGCAGTTTTTACCCTCTTCTACTCCCCCTTTCCCACTCTACATTTAGTAGCGAGTGCAATGGCAACAAAGAAGAGCTCCCCTCCACTAATGATTTTTAACATTTCATAGCTTGTTTCTAAACAATGGCATACAAAAGGGAGCGAGGAGGCGGACGACCCTCCGAAAAATTTTAAGTGAAAGAAATAATTTCAGTGCTATAAGAAGTATAAAATATAGCCTAATTCTCCAGCTTTTAGCAGAATTCCAAAACACGACATTAATTTTCAATGGGTACAATGCTAGAATGGGCTACTCTATTGAAAAATAACAAATTTAGATTTAATGTTGACCCTAAACATAACATTGCAAGTTTAATAAAATAATGTTTTTCTTTCATTTTGATAAATGCTTTTGTTCCTTTATCTCACTATAGGGATTTCAGAAGGTTAGGGAGAGCCTTTTCTCTTTAGATAGTGTTACATAAATTTGCATCAACGATTAGTATTACATTTCTTAATTCGCTTGATGTAAAGAAATTGTTTTCATATTTCTAGTCAGGAATAAGACCCAATTCACATTTCTTCGTTTTTTGAAGGAATCCGATCAAACTTTATCTTTTTTGCCTCGTGTGTACCTTACTCTGATTTTAATCTTGTCCATCTGAACAAGCAATTTATAAACGGATCGAAATGAAAGCGGTCGAAGTTCTGCTTTCTATTGTAAGTTAAAAACTAGATACTTATAAGATATGGAAACCAAAATGATTTCGAAAAGTCATTTGACTTGCAAGAAACAATGGAACATTTCCCAGACAAATAATTTCTTGAAAAATGCTCTTCCAGTAGCGGAGTTTCTTGATTTTAAGATATTTCGGAAAATCTTACGAAAGGTCATGTGGAGGAACACGCTTAAAACGTCTAATAAAAAATGAAATGGATTGTTTGAAGGTTAGGTTCCGGAAACTTTTACTTGGGCCATCCACCTTGGACCTCTTGGACCTTTCGCCCTCTAAAAAAACAGTGGTGTCAGCCATTGCTTCTAAATGATGCCTGCAAATTGTTTAGCTATTAAAAAACAGGGATGAATACAGGGAAGTCCAAACGGTTTCTTATTGTTACACCTTTCATTTCTGTTTTCTAATGAAACTGCAATGACATATAAGCACAATCCGAAATTCATATCACTGAACATCTTTCGCAATAAAAAGTTTTATTAAAGCAAGATTGTTAACAAAAGCAGTTTACCTTCACAAGATTTGCAACACTTTCCCCACATCTCGTTTTTCTGCGTAACGCATTCTCCAGCCTTAGCTCTCATTTCACAATCTGATTCTTTGTCCACACAGTCAGGAATGCCTGCAATGCAATACCTCTTCAATGTTTGAGATATTTTGATAATGGTTAAATGGGTGATAGCATTCAGCAGGTTGATTATTGCAACATCAGTACATTTTCCCTGTTTTCCACAAGTGCTCATTATAAGAAAATACAACTTGTTGTTCTTGCTAACCACTGCGAAAAGCAGCAGTAATCAACAAGGCACTTGATTCTAGAAACACAAGAAACTGTGCAATGACATTCTCCTCCACAGAGGCTATTGGGGGATGGAAATTGGGAGGGGAAAAGGAATAAGCTTATAAATTTTCACTTAATAATCTTACAACGTTATAAATACGTTATATGGAGTAATGGATAGCTCAAAGAGATAAGTACATGATATCAGGATTCTCATTCAATTAGAATTATGATTTGGGAACAACGTTACTGTATTAATGCTATCCTCACCTAAACATGCATTGCAACAACTCAGCAGCATCCATTTTGGATTTGTGTAGCATTCACCAGCTAGTGACCATTTGTGACACTGTTCGGAAAAGTCTTCACAAACTGTGAATGAAATATACGGAAAGAGATTAGAGTTTAAGATCATAAAAGTACATGGTGAGGATAATAATTTTTAGAAACAGTTTCAGTTGAATCCTGAAATAAGATTGACAAAGAATTTATTTTAAAAGAGTAAAAGCAAATTAATACAGACTCCAGAGGTATAGAAATAGATTGCTTTTCGCCTTGTTTGCCCTATAATGTGCATCATTAGTTCATCACAAGTATGAAGTGTTATTGCCCTTACCTCCTAAACCTTCAGGACATTTACCATTGTCAATATAAATATCATCGACAGCAATGCTGGGAGAGTCTGGTTCACCCACCGTGGCCACCAAAGACAGCTTCGGAGAGAAAAGTTGTTCTCGTCAAACCATAGTGCGGGGAGGGGGCTGGGGTAGCTTGAAAAGATTTCATCTTCTCACATTTAACTACATCTCTCAGTTTTGATTTGTACTCAATGCAATACAAGAAAAACCTTGAGATATTGATAATTGATTCAGGATTGAAGTCTACATACCGCCAGATATAAAAATTGTAGGAGCCTCGGCGAAGTCTGATTTGAACTCTTAGAGAATCCTCGTAGCAAACCTCTCAGGATATATTGAGTTTGAATTTGGAGGTAGGCGGTATTTACATGTGGTATTGCGAAGTTTGTTTCTTTTTTGAAGCAACACATAGAGACAGCCAATAAAGAGCTTTCTCTAATTAGAACTTTTTAGCCTGAGCTAGCGCAGTGCGTCTCGATGCAAAGAGGAGGCGAGATAAAACTAACGGGGTATTTGATAAAGATAACATAACATAACACAATTCCCAAACTTCATTGGAATGTTGAAAAATCACACCGAAAAGCAATTCACTTTTGAAGTTAGTTTTCCGTCTACAAAACTTTCATTCTTCGTAGGCTCCAGATGCCCCTTCCAACATTTTATGAGATATTATTTGATGAAGCTTACGAGCTACAGGCTACCAAAGCTGGTACTACTAGACATAAAGTTTTTTCCAGCAAACTGCCGGGAAGAGTAACCGAAAGTTTTTTACTTGTTTGGACACCCTTTAAACTTTTAAGGTGTTAGCCCAAGGAAGTGGAAACAGGTGAAAAATCTCTCCACCAGCTTGTTGGGAAAAATTCCCTGTCTATACTAACAACGCGTTCATTGAAGAAAATAATCTCACCACGTAAGACACAGGAACCCCTGGTAGATTAACTGCTGCTTGAACCCATCCCTTACTTCTACCTCCTTTCTTTTGCCACAAAGTCGTTGGGCGACCTGATGTCAGATCCTGAAACTGAACTTCCAAAGATTCTACACCTTCACCGTTTAAATAGTAAACAAATGCCAAGCATCTTTCCCCTGGCGCAGGAGGAATCCTTTTTGAAACAATGGTTGCTTTAACTCCCTTCAGACAAGCTTGACCATGCCTAACCTCAGCAAATCTACCTAAAAATTAGAAAACATTACATAAAATATTCATTTAGTAGAATTACTGTTATTTTGGGAGTTGAGAGTTATGAATTACTGACAAGGGCACGAGCTTGTGAGCTAAAGGGGGTCCAGTGATGATGAAGGATTCAAGAATAATGAGTAATCGATCAGAAATGTGCATAAAAAGGGGAGGGGACTGCATAAATACGTATTTACCCATTAATCTAAATATAGCTTGTGCATCAATCCAAGTTACCTGAACCAGTTGTGTGATCTTGTTTTGGACCGGCAGCCTGTGTGTTCTCTCTTGATTTGCCTCTTCTCCAATTGCAGTTGTTCTTACTTCGTGGCTTCCAGTAACCCCAGTCGTCTTCAAATGTCGTGTCAGCAGGCTCTGAAATTCAAGTTCATCGCTTTTATTCGATAGAAATTTATTGAGGTACTGTTAGCAGGACTATCCCAAATAATGCTTCTGTTTACAAGACTACAGCAATTTGCATCACATGAAAAGTCTTTCAAATCATAGAGATTAATATGTTGAGCAATCAAAATAGAGCTTTCACCTATCAGAAGAAGTCGATTCTTTCTTAAGTATACTCTGCAATCAAACTAAACCTCCCGCTCGAAGGGTCACGGTACCATTTGCCTTACCCTTAAAGTTGAATACTGCAGAGTAAATGCATAATAAAAAGAGCTCCTAGGCTTTGGTGTAGATGGCTGCAAGTCGTATTGAATGAAGGTGTAATACATACGGGCATGGCATCTCGAAATTCGACATGATTTGAACTCAGAAGACATGCCGGTGCAGAATTTGTGTTCTCCTCCACATACTCTTTTTCTTCTATGATATCCTACTCCACAGGGTTTGGAACATGGGGACCAAGGTCCCCACTCTTGCCATCCAAACTCTAGGGATTTGAAAAAAGTCAAAATTTTCAAAATTTTGCTGTTCTGTGTATTCTATCAATCAAATTTAAAGTTAACTTACAAAAGCACCAATATTTAGATTTCACCACAATCTTACTTACAAAGTTGGTGTACCCTTTAACCGACTTCACGTGGTTGGATTTACAACATTAAGTTTATCTAACACGTTATTGAGTTTTTGAAACCTCAGCAAGCGTCTGTACGGACAGTCTTTGATTTATCAGTCGAATTTGATTAATCGAGTCAACTATTGCTTCAGATAAAATGAAGTGTAAGTTTTTATCGAAATAAGATACAGAAAATTTCATAATTCACCATGCTGTGATTTCAGATATTCCGTAAATATTATGAAATGACAGTATGAGAAAATTAAAAAACATATGTTATCTTCACAACAAATCAATGTAGAAAGTTAACCGTGGAAACATCAATACAAAAGAAACTACATTTGGAAAAAAACTTGAAGGGAAAAAATCACACGAGTCTGAAACAGGAAAAATGCCAAGATGCATGAAGCCAAATTCAGTATGTTTTTTTTCAAAGTACAATGCCTGCTAAAAGTACTTGGAACACCCGGCTATTGACGCTGTATTTGATAACTTTCATTCCTTTCATGAAAAAATTACTACTTCCGCCCCTTTCCCCCTAAAACAATGTTGATAATTAAGAGAAACATCATACAGGGAAGCGCAAAAGAAAGTGCTTCCTAAAATCATAACCCGTTTGATAGTAAACCAACATTAATCTGTAGGGGAGAGGGGGGTGATTGATTTTGACCTTGGAAGTTGACATCAGTGTTCCAAGACTTTTGGCAAGCATTGTAGTTGAAACTTACTTGAACAGTGAAAAAATAGTTTGATGTTAGTTATATCAGAGCGGCTGAGCTTCAGCCCTCCGAGATCCATGCTAGGATCACTTTTTGCAGCCATAGTTTGCTTTCCATCGCCATACGTGTATTTGGAGAAGTGCATTATAGAATGATAATCATATTGACCGCTCAATATATCGATCCCATTGTAAGAATGCCTTCGGAATATCTCTTGGTATTCTAAAATGGCAAATGTTTAACTGTTTAAGAGTATCTATATAAAACTAAAACTAACAGGTCATAGAAATTTATCAATGAAACAACAACAGCAATGCAAAGCAAAAAATAACTTGCTTAACTGAAAACAGAGAAAGTGTGTTAGATTCAAGTTAGATGGCATTCAGCAAGAGTAAATCGCTCAAGAAAAATATCGTATGCCTTCCCTGAATATCCTATTGTTTTATCTGGCAGTCCATGGAAATCATTTTGTTTTAGTGGAAATCTCGTACCCTATTTGGAAGAGTAAATTGCCACCCAACCCCCCCCCCTTCCCCCCTCGGTATTCAGTTTACTATAACAGTAACAACAGAAAACAACAACAAACTAGTACAAACGAGTAGAAACAATAAGGAAACAACATGAAACGATTGTTGTCTTAGCGGAAACGACTCGTCTCCAAAACGAGGCAAGCTTATCCATCCACGTGAGCATGGTCAATTCAGTGTTGCCACACGTAGGGATTTCTACCTACTGAAGGAATTTTCAGAAGTTTGTAGGGAAAGCCTACGGGATTAAATCAAAAAAGGAGGTAGATTTTTTGATTGTAGAGATGTCTTTGAGTTTGCGGCCAAACAATCAAATTGCTTGTTTTTTATTATCTCGAACATCGATCACCACCTATTTCTGCTTGTTACTACTTGTTTTCTAGTCGTTTCTGCTTGTTATTACTTGTTTCCTAGTCGTTTCTTCTTGTTACTACTTGTTTTCTAGTCGTTTCTGCTTGTTATTACTTGTTTTCTAGTCGTTTCTTCTTGTTACTACTTGTTTCTAGTCGTTTCTCTTGTTATTACTTGTTTCCTAGTCGTTTCTTCTTGTTACTACTTGTTTCCTAGTCGTTTCTTCTTGTTACTACTTGTTTCTAGTCGTTTCTGCTTGTTTTATTACTTGTTTCCTAGTCGTTTCTACTTATTTCCTGCTATAGTAACCACACCCCTCGGTATGCAGTTTACTTATTTTAATCATAGCATAGAGAACAAGTTTTACGAAGCCACATTAACACAATTTTTGTCTTAAAAATATTATTTTCTAGAGTTTCTGTACTGGAGTTTGCAGTTTCAAAATTTAAGTTGCTCACAAGTACCTATTAAATTTCTGCTGTTTCGTTTATTGAGGAAACTTAGGAAACTTTTTCAAATGACAGTCTGAACGAGTATATGTATTTGAAAGCCGTATTTGTATCTATGTGTTAGCCAGAAATTACCATTTCGCCCTCTACTACATTCTTTAGTTCCTCTTTTTTATCACCAAGTTGTCTTATACCAACCACGTAAAATGTGAAAACGCTAGGAGGATTTCCATACAGGAGCATACAAATGTTGAAATGTTAGCTTTACAGGTTTTCTATCTTCCTCCATCTTAAACGCTGACATAAGGAAATTCTCCCAGAGATTTGTAGGAATTTAAAAACGCTTTAGAATGGTTTTTGTAGCTTTTGGCTTCTTAAAACGGAGAATGTCCTTATCTCATCCTACTCACTGGGCAGTAGCTTCGATTACTCTCATACTAACTCAGCTGATATGAGCGGCAAGTACTTAAATTCATTCAACTTGAATACTTTATGAAAAGAAATGAGAAATGAAAATTGTCAATTGAACCATTTGAAAAGTTCTAGAAAAAGTACGGCTTATTATTGTTGACGCATAAAGAATCTTTGAATATTTCAAAAAGTTCTAGTGTTCCAGAAGAATCTTAAGTTTTTCTATGCTAGCCTCTCTGTTAACTGTTCATTCCTCTCTGTTTATTGTTTATTCAATAAAATAATAGTTTGTTTATCTACCAGTATTTTTGTTTATTTACACAGAACTGAAATCTGCTATTAAAATCAATAATAATTGAATGGAGCAAATTAAAAAAAAACTTTTCGAAGATTGGAGAATGAAGTCATTCTGGAAAAACTCAAAAATTATGATAAAATGAATGCCAGAGTAGGATCGTCTCCCAGGTCTCACCTTCTTCACCTTTCAGTGGAAAAACAGTATGCAGCAATGCAAAATTTATAAATATCTTTCTAAAAAGCTATTTCTAGAATTGAATCATTGCTAAGAGCACAAACTCCATTGTAGACTTGCTTGCAAATTATCAAAAATAATCACATAGCTTAAAAGGTAGGCTTCTAAAAATAAAACGTGGAATCTAAAGAAAGTCCCCTATCTTATTCAAGGAAGACAAATTGCTTGTTTCCTCACGAAGCTGCTAATAGTTAAAAGGCTTCCTTGCATTTAAAAATTAAGGAATTTGCTGCGATAAATTTCAGAGATAATGTAACTGCAGAAGTTTATCTTGATGGAAACATAGCAATTGATTGTCATTCTAATGATCAGAGATCATAAAAACGTAAAGAAACAAAGAAAAGGAAATTTGTAAGGAAAAGGACTTTTGTGAACCTTCTCATCGGAGGTAACTTACAGCCCGATTTATTCTACAAAGCTTTCATGACGAAAAAAACCTGAGCTAGAATGGATGCAATGGTGGGGAAAGAGAATACTGAAAAGGAAGTGTTTTAGGATTGTTTCTAATATGAAATTTGACTTGTGAATTATTTGCGGCCTTCTGCTCTCTGCCCTTCATCTTTTTTTGATTGAAATTTGATTGGGGGTTGGAAGGTTGCTTTAACTTATTTGTTTTAGCACACGTGACATGTTTCCCGCTAAAATTTAAATAGCCGACAAATAGGCAGTATTTTGCAGACATGTTCAGGTATCTATTGCTTAAAGTTGCCAAAAGATACAAAATTTGGCACAAAACTAGGTGGCACAAGTCCTTCAACATTACGAATTGATGGTATACTTGATGCACTTACAGATAAATGACACATCAGACATATTCTAAATATGCGTACATTCGACAGCTAACAAAGAAGAACGGTGCACAAACCTGGTTTGATGTTGTCCCAATGAATATCAATAAAGTTGTCTCGGTCGACACGATTCATCTCGTGCAAAAATCCTGAAAATAAAAGGTGATTCCAAATGCTTGCTATTGCCAAAAGGAACTTTGAGTAGACAGAAAATTAATAAGTGCAGCTAGGGCTCAATGCCACAAAAGTGGTTGTCGAAAAAAAATATAGACGATATTCTTGCCAATCAAGCTGATTCATGTATTTCATGTATTTGAAATTCTCCCAGTACGTTTTATAGATGGCTTCTCGTTGCCAATCATTATTCAAGATGGGTGTGCTATATTTAATGAGGCAAGGAAATATGGTATGCAGAACGGTGTTAAAACGAGAAAATGATTACCTAGGCCATGAAGAAGCAAATGCATTATAACAGAATCTGCCAGGCAGCCTTTGCCTGTTGATATCTGCGTGGGCGATTTTTCAGCTGATTTTTTACCAAGATCAGCATGGCAGCTAAAATTAAAATGAAGAAGTTAACAAGTCATAGAATAGGTATTATGAGTGTGTATTGAGACAAAAAGCAAAAAGGCAAATTACATCAAAACAGTAACCAAATTCGTAAATCCATCTCTCATACAAAAGTGATCAATTCTTTTTTTAAAACACCATCATAATGCCTTCTAAATATCATAATACCACAAACTGTGAAGTGCTGTAAAGGTTTCTTGGCCTGAGCATATCGCAGCTCACTGTATTATCAACTTGAATTATCATTCTGTTCCAGCCCACTATATTTCTTCCTATCTATCATCCATTCCATGGTAGAATTCACTTAATTTTAAAAGACTGCTGCTCGTTCAATGCCAAACAAGTCTAGGCCTCTTCAAAAAAATCTGCATCATTCCTAACGATGGGTTGCAATAAGCATAGAGTTCAAAAGTGTGACTTCATGAAAATTATACTTTCAGAGTTGTTAATTTTTGACCACATATCCTGAAACAGCACCATAAAATATTCGAAGTAAGTTAATTATGCAAAAATCAGCTGAGAAATGGCCAAGAAAAGATTTGAAGGTTGTTAGGTGATTTAAATTATAAATTTCTAAAACAGATCTTTATAACGTCAAAACTTTAGAACTTTATAGCAATATAAGAACAGTTTTTTTACCACATATTTTATTAGAGAATAATGTTGAGAATTTCCATACCCGTATCCATCGTAAAATTGGAGCCAATGACTGTCATTATCTCGTTTTGATCTGAATGTCAAGCAGGTAACGGAGGCCAGTTGCTCTAAGACACGCTCTATATGCTCCCGTAAGATTTCTTAAAAAATATTTCAATAGTTTTAATAGTCAAAAGCTATGTCCACATCCCAAGCTTTCTGAGGATTGATTAGATTCGATTCGAGTTGACTAAATAAAGGTCTAACGGAAAACAGTTTCTTTCTGGTAGGATTGATTTGAGAATCAGTAAACTAGACAGATTGAAGGAAGGGGATACGATGTTGGACGCAAAGAATCGTTCATAAGGCACAAGTTCATCAACAAAATGGCTGTAACAGAAAATGCTATCGAGATAATTGTAAAGATGAGAGTTTTGCAATGAATAGGAGCCTTGCTTGAGACGTATTTAACGAAATTATGGAACTACACCTTAACATGATGATAGTTAGTAACAATTGAGTACCAATAAATTGTGCACAGAAGGTCTGCAAAATAATTGATCTATTACCAAGTAAGCAGGCTCACGTCAGCTGATGCTGCCTTTTATTGTCCTACATTAGAATTCTCTATGTAAATACCTCCATCACTTTTCATTTCGCCCAACAGGAATGCAAATAGTTAAAGCCTCAGTATTTCGCAGTGAAAAAGAGGTTTGTAAAATGTACGCTTAAGTTTTTTTAGCCAAATCTCACCTTTACTTTGACCACTGAATCCAACATCGGCAATTTCGTATGGGATATTTTTGGCTTGCCAGCGCTTTCCACTGCTTGAAATAACCCGCCTTTTGACGGGGCTGCTTTCATCACTGTTCAAGCTGGCGGATGTTAGTGCATCTTTTTCTTTTTTTTCTAAGGTAATACAGCCTTCGAATAATTGTTCCACCAAACCTGAAAGATCACAATAACGGTTTTAAGGCTGAGAAAACAGGATACGATATAGAAAACCTGGGCAACCAGCGTAATGTAGGGGAATCTATAGGCTTTTGTAAGGGCATTTTTGGATAATCCTGAGCTGGGGAAAGTGAACAAATATGAATTGCTTAATTCAGCACTGAGAATTTGGATTAAGGCAATTGTGACAGGAAACACTACTTTCAGGAGACTCTATAAACATTTTTGTGTCTCAAAGTTTGCGAACCAAGATGGCCATCATCACCATCGGTGAAACCTTGGGAACTTGGATAGCAATACGAACGATAAAAGTAATTATATCCTTTAATAATGATTATCAAAATCTGGTATCAAAAGTGATTTTGCACCTTCGTGCACAACTTCCTCGTTACCAACGGTTAGAACTACCAATTATGGAATCAGATCACACAGGTTCCAAGGGAAGAAAATCTGGAACTTACTTCCAGATGAAATCAAAACAGCCCAAAATTCAAAAGAATTCAAAAAATTGATTTTAACTTGTTTCCATGTAAATAACTGATCGCGTTCTTTTCGCAGCCAATGAACTGCTTTATAAATTTCTTGACATTGCTTCATGTTGAACTGAATAAGTCTTTTTTCACTACTGCAACAACTAGAATTTAATAAATTATGCAATAAAAAACATTTTGATAACTGTAACGAAAACGATACTATAACATGGTTTCGTACCTCGGCTTGGGTCCAGATTTAATTCCGGGGGTGGATTAGATAAAGAGTTTAGATTTTCAAAAGACTTCGGTTGAACATTCTCATTCACCTTCCAGATGATATCTTCTGCTGATAAACTTGCTGAAGAGATGAAGCAATCCATAAGTTATAATCATTAAAAGGAAAACGCAAATTATGATGAGCCCAAGCTAAACAATGTTATAATTTCTCCTATCAGGATAAAAAAAATTAAAGTAGGGAAGAGGGTTGGAAGATTAAGACAACTGCAAAAACCAGTCTAAATTGAAAAATCTATATATTCTAAGGTCTAACAGTGGTTTCTTCCAAAATGTAGGCAATTTCTTATTAATTTATCATAGTTGTTCATAAACTTGGCAACAGAACTTTCTGGATAATGCAGCTACTGACAGTCCATTCTCACATGTAATCAAAGCCTTGAAAAAGTCGTTTCTAGGAAACAGGCACTTGCCTACAATAGACAGCTATCTCGCTAAATCTCGCTAAATCTCGCTAAATCTCGCTAAATCTCGCTAAATCTCGCTAAATCTCGCTAAATCTCGCTAAATCTCGTTAAATCTCGTTAAATCTCGTTAAATTTCGTTAAATCTCGGTAACTATCGGCAAATATCGGAAAATCTCGGTAAATCTAGTATTTCAAGGTAAATTTTGGTAACTCTCGGTGAATCTTGTCACACAGATTTCTGCAAAATGGAGGTTTCGTGGTATTTAACGGTTTTTAGGAATTCAGGCTAATTTCGACGAGAACAGATCAGTTTCTGTTGCCTATTGGTTCACTTTATTCAGAGAGCTTATATTTCACAATCTGCATTCTGCAAAATTACCCGCAAGCTAGAGGGAGTTCAAGGCAATCTAAACAAATACAAGGGCCTAATAGAAACTTCTTCGATGGCAGTTTCTGAGACAGAGATCTAAAACCCTGTTTAAGATGCGTCGCAGCAAAATGTAGAATGGGTAGCAGCAAAAGTGAGGCGGACCACTCCATTCGGACAAGTGAGAAACACTGCCACTGCAAATTCAAGGCCGTGCATATTTTTGGTAAAATACAGTTGTGTAGCAGAAAGCAATTTTCAATCAGAGTGATACAAATGCCAGCTTTATCAAAAAAAATTACGTTTCTAATTGGGGCTGTTATTACTTTATGGGGAACATCAAGATGGACCTAAAAATATGGTTTTAACCACAGAATGTCTGTGCTTTAGATGCGATTCCTCTCATTGGTGAAAAGAAATGAAGAGGAAGAGTCATATGATAATACGGTATATTTCGATAAAAAGAGATGTATACTGATGCAGCGACAGGAAATATAAAAATAATTCAGAAAAAAGGGCTATAAAAAGTTAGTATTTCAATACCCTGGGTACCAGACTCAATATACATAAAATAAAATTTTATATAATAAGTCTGGTACCCAAGGTAGCATTTTAAGAGAGGCCATAAAATGTTTTTGTTTATCTGATCAACTATCGTTTTCATTCATATATCTGATAATATAAAAAAAATATTTTTTGGACACAAAAAACATATTCTAAGTTTGTGGCTTAACGTCCTATAAAAAAGACCATAAAGATTCAATAAATATACTAGAATGCATGCGGTACAATATAATGAATTTAAATAACGATCAATGTAAGTAAATTGTGCCAGGAAAATTTATATAATAAAGACCTCTAGAAAGCTTGCGACAGAAATGATGGAACAGTTGCTACTGCTATTGGAAGGCTGAACCAATGATGACTTTTTTTAGGCGCAGTATTCATTTTATTCCGATGTAAAAAGCAGTAAATTAAACTTTATTCAGCTGCTACTGCTTATCTGAAAATTTTAGAAATTACATAAATGTTTATATAAGTATATAAAACTGTGGTGTAGAACAAGTAGAAAATACTCCTTCAAAGGTTCATGTTCTGATTGACCACACATGGGCTGGACAGAAAAACCGTCAAATACCACGAAACCTCCATTTTGCAGAGATCTGTGTGACAAGATTCACCGAGAGTTACCAAAATTTACCTTGAAATACTAGATTTACCGAGATTTGCCGAGATTTGCCGAGATTTACCGAGATTTACCGAGATTTACCGAGATTTAACGAGATTACACTGATTAACAGATTAACAGAAGTGAATTTTGACCACACGCATGCATTGCGGCATTTCGCTTGTTAATATAATATAAAATGATGTTTAGGCCTAGTTATCAATTAAGCTTGCTTCACTATTACAGCACGACAAATTTGAACAGGGCTATAGAAGTACCTTGAAAATACTTACGGTTTGCTATGACAACAATACTCCATATCTGGGAAGAAAATATAGCATAATAACAGCCAAAAACGAGATAATATCTGAGCATCGTACAGTCTAAAAACGATGACCTACTAGCAATTGCTGATAACCAGTGTAATTTGGTTTTAACCGCGAATGAAACTGTAGCATCAACCTGCTCTGCTGACTTTGTTACTGGGCAAATCAGTAAACATCTTTTACGGAGTTTTGGTATAATTTCAGTCAGGGACGTAAACAAGTGGATAATTTTGGGGGGTTTTGGATGCCTGAAAATTCCAACTTTACTTGAAAAAATTTTCTCTCGATCTGTTAATCTTCTTAGCCTACTAAATTGGTTTTTGAAAATAGCCTTATTCCAGATTTCTAGTTTCTGTATTATAACCAACATTTTAGGCGTAATAATTAGTCTTAAGCATAGAAGCACTATAGAAGATAAAATAAATCTCTAAATTTTGATTAACGTAAAACGAATATCAAATTTTTTCATAAGAAGTAAAGCAACATAAAAGTCAAACCAGTATTAGATCTTGGATATATTTAATGCTAAAAAGTAGCTAATATTCTTCCAAGTCAATTAACAGCGATTCCATTCTTTTTCTGCTTTGCTCATCTTAAAGCTATTTGCTGCAGATTATCAGTTTTATATAAAATGTCTTTTTTTACAATAAAGAAGCTCAAGGAATTGGCCATGTCATCTTTGTTCTTGATCGAAGAAAACTGTTTACAATTTTCAGAGGGCTAAATGTCCTTTGTGTTTTGCAAATGAAAAGGGTGACCAGAGGGCAAGTGCATGTGCCCAATTCGTAAGATTTAACACTTTTCTTTAAACAAATACTTCTGCTGCCGCTTCTTTGATCAATGTTTTGTGTCTTCTCATCAGCTTTATCATAGAAATTTATGATAAGATTTAATTTGGTCTAAAAAGTACAAGAGGAGCTTAGCATACACTCGCATACACTAGTTAAAAAGCACTGAGGCTGCAGGCTCAATCAATACTGATAGTAGAATTTAAACTTTTTATCCAGAAATTCACCTTGCCTGTTCAAAATAATTCAACTTAACTTCAACCTTGTCAAAAAGAAAACAAAACGGTGTAATGGTGCAATTTGAGATCCAGGGCTTCACATTTAAAAACGATCAGAAGATGTGTCTGCTCCAGAGTTCGAATTTTAATAAGGTCTAAGATTTTAACATTTAAAATCCCGAAATCCCTAAGCTATAAAATTCACATATTTGGTCATTAGAGTTAGAAAAAATTCTAAGTGAACTTTCGAGTTTTCCAACTGTAATTGGATTTGCCAGCCTTTGGGGGGAGGGCGTCATGCCCCCCACCCCCTATTATTTACGTGCCTGATGTCAGTTGTTAGCCACAAAATCTAAATCCGTGAAAGTTACTTCTTCTGTCTCAATTAGTTTTCAACAGCAAAGAATGCCTATGAAGCATTTAGGTTGTTCTCTAGGCGGGTCTAATGCTAAAACATTTTTGAGGCCAAAGGGGCTATAACAAAGGGAGGGGAACGTAGCCACAGACGAGGGGGAAATTTTTCCATGGAAATCTCATACAACTTTGGTGAAAATCCTACTGAAAATCCCTAGAAATCTTTTTATTCTGTTGATAATCTTGTACGCTATAGATCGCAAGGGTGATCTATAGAAGAATCCAAGGGCGCAACACTCCTTTTAAAACTCTTACCTGGTCTTTCGGGTCTTGGCCAAACCCGTAATGAAATTTAATCATATAGCAGAAAAAACTTATTTTATTGCAGTTTACACCAAAGCCAGTGTTCTTTTGCAAAATAGAGGCGTTTTGGAAAAGCAAATCGGCGTGGCTTTTCTTATTTCTTGAATGCAAAGCTATTTCTCAGAGCCCCACCCCCTGTTGACCTTATATCTTATTTCTTGTTTTAAAGCCTGCCCCCCCCCCTTAGGTATGGTTCTTGCGAGTTTGCCCACCCTAGCCGACATCTACAGCTACGTGGCTGAGCGGAAGACAAGTCTTCGAGAGAAACAAACAAGAATACGGTGGCAACAGCAGTTTGGAATTTTTCTCTTACTGCCGACGGCTACCGTGAGTTACGAGATTCCAATCACCAGGATTACCAATATAATTTTGCTTTCCTTCTTCCCACAAAAACAAACTGAATTTTGAAATTGTTTACTTGAAGTCGACTGATCTTTGCATGCTGCTCAGTTGACGTAAGAAAATTGCTCAGGATATTAGTTGTTTTGAACCAAAGATCGTTCTTGTTTGTCGACGACTGATAAATCTATAAATATGACGTTGAATTGTTTATCGTGCTGTGCAAGCACAGATTACTATTAAGAGGACAAGGTGAGAAACGCTTGGAATAACTTTACATCATTGCCGATTATTCAAGTATTCTTCGATATGGCCTTGTCTGTGTAATGTCTAGGAATCTCCGACAAAAAAACTATTATGGCGACATGTTTCGGATTATTGGTAAAGCCCGATCGTCGTTCCACCTAGCAGTTTTGGAATCTATCTACATAAGCACGAAAAAACCGCTACTGTGTAGACAAAAGGAGTTCGTTTTCACCTTAGGATCCCATTGGTAACATTCTCATTAGGCAAGCGGCACTGATTGGTCAACCTCAACAGTCATGTGCTCGTGTTTCTGATTGGCCTATTTCGATCCACAACCAGGGCCGTCGCTAGCGGAGGGGAGGGGGGGGGGGTGCGGGGGGTGCGGCAAATTTCTTGTCGGCAAATTTTCTAAAAGTAGAGTTTTGTTGGGTTTTACTTTCGAAGTTCTCAATGCGATAGCTTTAGCAAAAAGTTTAGATAAGATGAGGATAAGTCCGAAGAAGTATCACCCAAAAACCCTCAGCAATTCAAAATAGGTACAGATGGCGCTATGGGTGTCAAGGAGGGGCAAATGTCCACCAAAAATTTCAAATGACTCCCTGTCGGCAGCCGGAGTCTAGAATCTAATATCCAATATCCAGAGCGACCTAATTTCTACCTAAAGTTTGGGGACAAAGTTTATTGAAAAAATCCGAACGTTGATCCTGGAGGTACTGGAAGCCACTGTAAGCAGGGCTGCCGAGGGGAGCAAGGGGGCAAAGTGCCTCAGGGCCTTGAGGGCCTCAAGTAGTAATGAACTCCATTTTAAGAATGAAACAATGAAACGTAGAAGAAGTATGCCTAAAAATAGTTAAAAGTTTTAAAGGATTGCAAGAAATGACTGCAAGAAATATTTTGAAATGCATTTTAAGAAAATCTAAAGGACGTGGTCGCAAGAAATTTCTCGGGGCCTCGTCTTTCGGGTTTCCTTCGAGGCCTTCGAAACCCCTTGGCGGTCCTATTAGTAAGATCTACTCATGCAAACTAAGTACCCACAGTCACTCTAAAATTGAAGCGATGATTGACTAACGAGAACATACTCTTTGATAAACAAAATCAATTGTGTTAAAATACCACACCCAAAAATTGAAATACCTTAGGCCACGCCCTATTTTGTCGGCAAATTTGTGACTGGCACCCCCCTTAGTGAAAGTGATTAGCGACGGCCCTGTTCACAACTGGCTATTGTTATTTCCTTGCTGAAATCGTAAGATTAGATCACGGGCCAACTCGGCCTACAATCACTGCCAAAATTACTTGGAACACCCAACATTTTGCGCTGTGCTTTTCTATTTTTCATTTGTTTTCCCGAATATAACTACTTCCGTCCTCCTTTCCTTTCCCCCAAAACAATGTTGAAAGTATAGTAAAATTTCATACAAGCCACACAAAAAAACGTACTCCATAATCCCTTTCATTTTTCTACAGTAAATCAACATTGTTCCTAGGGGGAGAGGGGGTGGTTGAATTTGCCTTTGAAAACTGACTTTAGTGTTCTAAGACTTTTGGCAGTGATTGTACATATCTAGCATTTGTATAAAAAAAATAAATGATAAAACTAAAAAAAGATGTATAGAGCGTAGCAGCTTGAAAAGCTTACCAAAATGTACCTATTGAAAAACCAATCAACTATTTCTTTGGAACTTGGAACGTAATGTTTATCTTCTTAATAGCGTTTTTAGGTAATTCACAAAGATTTAGTTTAATGAAAGTTCAACTGAAGAGATTGTTATAAGAATTTTTCTTAGTTATTATCAATTCATTTTGAATAAGAAAATTTTCCCCATTTCCTGCAACATAATCCAACTTTTATCGAACACCTTGAATTAAGAGTGGGTGTCTGTCTGTTTAAGATAGTTTTCAATTTTCCAGTTTTCAATAGATGACGAATGAATATTGACGAAACGGAACTGTTTTCTTTCACTATTATCGGGTTCACCTTTCTGGATGGATAAGACGTTAGTTGAAAACATCTGACTAATTATTTCAATTTACACAGTGCCTTGAGCTAACGAATTGAAATCATATCCTTGTTTGAGTATGGCTGAAAAACATTACAAACTTGATAGCGAGAGATTTGGATACCTCACGGTACTCTTTGCATTGATCAGAGCAGAGGCCTTTATCCAATTGAAACCCTCATTTCCTATCGAGTGACCTTTTGGTTGGGTGCCAACAAGATAGGCACAGTTGCGTTTGAGGAAATCAGAATTCTAATTTTGTGACAACAGGCAGGCAAGGACCTAAGAAAAATGTTTATTAGTCAACAACTGCCAAGGTTTGTTTGATCTGTCCGCCTGGTGGCAATTTGGCACGTAGGCGCCGAAAATGCTGGGAATGCATCCCCATGACGCCGATTGCTTATGACTAAAAATATGACATAAAAAGTAGGAAATGGTATTCAACAGAACAAGCATTAAGGCAATACTGCATATTTGGTATCGTTTACTACAACAATACTAGAAAGGACAATGTTTTGGAGCGAATTATTAGGAATATCATGTTAGGAATATTTCTAGTAGTAGGTACAAAGATATTTGTTGACATCTCTGAAATTAAGGTACAAATGCACCAACTTTGAATTGGGGAGAGGGGTAAATGTTGGACTTTACCTGCGTACTACCCGAAACTAGTTTAGGTAATTCATA